TTTAACAGTGTGCTCCTAATCTCAGCTCGTTACCTGTATAAAAGACACCTGGGAGCCAGAAATCTTTCTGATTGAGAGGGGGTCAAATACTTATTTCCCTCATTAAAATGCAAATCAATTTATAACATTGTTGGCATGCGTTTTTCTGGATTTTTTTGTTGTTATTCTGTCTCTCACTGTTCAAATAAACCTACCATTAAAATTATAGACTGATCATTTCTTTGTCAGTGGGCAAACGTACAAAATCAGCAGGGCATCAAATACTTTTTTCCCTCACTGTAGGAGTTGGCTATACAGCACAAACAGACCTGGGACCAGGTGTGTTTTCAATTCTCAGTGGAGGAAGTGTGGGTGGAAAAATGTTGGTGTTTGGAAGTGACCTAAAATGAGATTGGGAGTGGGTCATGTTCATTAGGCACCAAACGGAAGAAAACTGACCTAAATAGGCAGGGACTCCCTGGATTTGACCAATAAGAAACATACACTTTCGTTTGGCATTGCACATTTTTTTAGAACATTTTCTGTTGCTTGCCCTACTGAACATGACCTTGGTGTTATTCACCATGTCAGTAAATCCAAATTATGGAGCTGGCTGAGGAAGAGCATGACCGTAGATGGCCAGCCAGACCAGATCAGACAGATGGTCAAATGTGAAAAGATAAGCTCATAATCCAAGTGATATGACAATGTCAAGAGATTTCGTCTGTTTGTCCTGAGAAGGAGAATGATGGTGCAGCCAGTCAGCCAGTAGAGGAACAGAGGAGCATCTTTGAGTTTTAGGAGCAACAGTCAGAGCAACAGTTAATTTAAACAGCAACCTCGGGCCTTAGAATGGCATCACATTAAACATAATGCATTTGATCAATACTGAGCACTGCTTTACTAAATAAATGTCTAAGAAACTACTTGTGTTGCTTAAAGGGGTATTACACAAAGTTAGTTAGTCAAAAGCTAACTAGGGCGGCAGGTAGCTTAGTGGTTAAGGGCGTTGTGCCAGTAACCGAAAGGTCACTGGTTCTAATCCCCAAGCCGACTAGGTGAAAAATCTGTCGATGTGCCCTTGAGCAAGGCACTTAACCCTAATTGCTCCTGTAAGTCGCTCTGGATAAGAGCGTCTGCTAAATGACTAAAATGTAAATGTAAAAAAGCCATATCCCACATCATCGGTTGTGTTGATCCAGTTTCCTGCCTCAACTGAAAGAAATTCATTATATGGTGCTCATCTTTGCCATTCATTTTGGATTGACGTATACCCATGGATCTAATGCACAATAGATTACCTGGGACATGGATGTATCTTAACATTAGTCTAATTTTGCGCTCTGAAAACATCTGACCAACTTTGATTTGTGAATGTAATGTCCCTTTTTAAAGTAGCCTCAAATACATTATTTTTCTTTGATCAAACCATCTGTTTCAAACCATCAGGCAACTAAGAGTTCGCTGAAAAATGTCAATGTTTCGTGCAAATTCACAGATCATTTCATTGCTTCATGACCAGTGCAATGATGAATGGTTGCCTCATTGATTGGGCTAATCCCTCACATTTACGTCATTTAGCAGACGCTCTTATCCAGAGCGATTTACAAATTGGAGCATTCAACTTATGATAGCCAGTGGGACAACCACTTTTTATTTTATTTTATGAGGGGGTAGAAGGATTACTTTTATACTATTCCAGGTATTGCTTAAAGAGGTAGGGTTTCAAGTGTCTCCGGAAGGTGGTCAGTGACTCCGCTGTCCTGGCATCGTGGGGGAGCTTGTTCCACCATTGGGGTGCCAGAGCAGCGAATAGCTTTGACTGGGCTGAGCGGGAACTGTGCTTCCATAGAGGTAGGGGAGCTAGCAGGCCAGAGGTGGATGAACGTAGTGCCCTCGTTTGGGTGTAGGGTCTGATCAGAGCCTGAAGGTAAGGAGGTGCCGTTCCCCTCACAGCTCCGTAGGCAAGCACCATGGTCTTGTAGTAGATGCGAGCCTCAACTGGAAGCCAGTGGAGTGTGCGGAGGAGCGGGGTGACATGAGAGAACTTGGGAAGGTTGAACACCAGACGGGCTGCAGCGTTCTGGATAAGTTGTAGGGGTTTAATGGCACAGGCAGGGAGCCCAGCCAACAGCGAGTTGCAGTAATCCAGACGGGAGATGACAAGTGCCTGGATTAGGACCTGTGCCGCTTTCTGTGTAAGGTAGGGTCGTACTCTGCGAATGTTGTAGAGCATGAACCTGCAGGATCGGGTCACCGCTTTGATGTTAGCGGAGAACGACAGGGTGTTGTCCAGGGTCACGCCAAGGTTCTTTGCACTCTGGGAGGAGGACACAATGGAGTTGTCAACCGTGATGGCGAGATCATGGAGCGGGCAGTCCTTCCCCGGGAGGAAGCGCAGCTCCGTCTTGCCGAGGTTCAGCTTGAGGTGGTGATCCAACATCCACACTGATATGTCTGCCAGAGATGCGATTCGCCACCTTGTTATCAGAAGATTCATTCTGTGTTGTCTGCGTAGCAATGATAGGAGAGACCATGTGAGGATATGACAGAGCCAAGTGACTTGGTGTATAGAGAGAATAGGAGAGGGTCTAGAACTGAGCCCTGGGGGACACCAGTGGTGAGAGCACGTTGGTGCGGAGACAGATTCTCGCCACGCCACCTGGTAGGAGCGACCTGTCAGGTAGGACGCAATTCAAGAGTGAGCAGTGCCGGAGATGCCCAACTCGGAGAGGGTGGAGAGGAGGATCTGATGGTTCACAGTATCAAAGGCAGCAGGTAGGTCTAGAAGGATAAGAGCAGAGGAGAGAGAGTTAGCTTTAGCAGTGCGGAGAGCCTCCGTGACACAGAGAAGAGCAGTCTCAGTTGAATGACCAGTCTTGAAACCTGACTGGTTTGGATCAAGAAGGTCATTCTGAGAGAGATAGCAGGAGAGTTGGCTAGAGACGGCACACTCAAGGCACACTCATGTTTGACGAAGTCATCCACACAGAGAGGGAGGAGGAGGATTCAGCAGGGACAAGGTGGCAAAGAGCTTCCTAGGGTTAGAGGCAGAGGCTTGACATTTAGTGGTAGAAAGTGGCTTTAGCAGCAGAAACAGAGGAAGAGAATGTAGAGAGGAGGGAGTGAAAAGATGACAGGTCCGCAGGGAGTCTAGTTTTCCTCCATTTCCGCTCGGCTGCTCGGAGCCCTGTTCTGTGAGCTTGCAATGAGTCGTCAAGCCACGGAGCAGGAGGGAATGACTCTGGTTACCAGTATGTAAAAATAAAATAAAAATAAATGTAGGTTATAACTTACCCTTAGTAGCTACTGTTAGCTAGTTAAGTGTAAAGCTAGCTACTGAATCGATTTAGCCAGTTTGCGTCTGTCCCAACGGAGAGAAAGCGTCTCCAAACATTACAGCTAGGTCGTTCCAGCTATTGTTTAGTTAGCTATCCAGGTAGCAACAAGCTAGCTACATTTCGAGTACAGTAGCTACTAACTACCTAACGTTAATGCTTCAGATAATGAGGTTAGAAAAACAGATGAATGGTAGGTAGCTAGCTGGCATAATTACAGGTACTCTTAAGCGTGAAATAACATTGGAAACAACTATCCACAGTTGCTAATAGTTACCAGTAGCTACCCGCTAGCTAGCTTTATTGGTCCAGGTAGTGGGTTAGCTAGCCTCGTGCTTCATCGGGCTCAGCCGAATACAATACATACCTACAATAACTACCTAGATAAACTACCTACAATACCTAACTACAATACCTACCTACAATCTAAATACATGGTTTAAGCTTTACTCGACACCATATAAAGAAGAAGCCAAGCTTACCTCCCGCTTAGAGAAACACAACCTCATCCCATCGCACAGGTACATAAACCTCCCGGTTTGCACTGGATGTGTCAATGTGTAGTTCATACATGCATAATATATTAGCAGAATTACTGTCTTACTTCAATAAGCCACGAAACCCCTAGTTTGAAAGTGACTGTTTACCCCCATGTGGGCCAGCCTCCTAGCAATTCAAGCTCCAATGAACTTTAGCCCATCGCCATTTGAGCGACAGCTAGCAAGATGCACACATAGCAAAGCAAGAGAGAGCGCAATGATGTGGTGCACATATCTGCACATATGTGACATAGTACGCAATTTTCGAGGACCACTTTTGGCTCATGAGCACTACTTTCAGAACTACTGGCTAAAAAGTATATAAAAGTACAGGAGAATCTCTTTAAACAAATGTTCACCAAATAGTGTGTCACAGCTAAGTCCCTTTGGGTCATGGAGGATGGGGGACTGGTTAGAAACACTGGCTTTTGTTCACTTTGTGGATCATTCAAAAGCTGCAGATGAACACAACGCCGACGTATTCAGTTCATTTTATGGCTCTTTTATAAAATACATTTTTTTTTAATAGCTGATGCAAAATGAACTGAATATATCATTGTTGCAGTCATAGGGTGTAGCTGTCATATTTATTTGTAATAAAAAATGTTAACGCCTTTTTTGTGGTATCCAATTGGTAGTTACAGTCTTGTCCCATCGCTGTAACTCCCATACGGACTCGGGAGAGGCGAAGGTCGAGAACCATGCGTCCTCCGAAACACGACCCTGCTTCTTGACACCGTGTCAGCGTGCATGCGCCCGGCCCGCCACAGGAGTCGCTAGAGCGTGATGGGACAAGGACATCCCGGCAGGCCAAACCCTCCCCTTACCCGGACGACGCTGGGCCAATTGTGCGCCGCCTCATGGGTCTCCCAGTCGCAGCTGGCTGTGACACAGCCCGGGATCGAACCCGGATCTAGTGACGCCTCTAGCACTGCGATGCAGTGCCTTCGACCGCTGCGCCACACAGGAGGCCCCCTTAGCTATAATTTCTATTGTTTTCTTTACCCAGTTTTCTTGTTATGTTTACCCAGAAAAGTATCCTGTTCCCATAGAAACCTTTGGTAGCTCCGGCACAGCTGCATACATTCAAGCGTATAGTTGAGTCATAGTTTAGGCCAGGATTCAATCTGATTGTGCTTGTAGACGCAGCAATGTTAACGTGTTTGCGGAGATCACGTTCAAGGTAAACACTGCAGATGTCAGCTCAATTGGAAATTCCCTTTAAATGTCAAGCGACATATAGCTCGGTTTCAGATTTATCCCGGCCTTAGGAACCTCCAGGCCTGACCAGTGTTTACCGAAATGCATTAGTTTAGGAACCCATGCCTTTTAGTTCTAGCCCAGCACTAGAACATCTGATTCAACTAGTGAATCTAATCACCAAGCCCTAGCCTTGATTAGTTGAATCAGGTGTGTTTGTTCTCGGCTGGAACAAAAATGGAGGAGTATTTCTGTCTGTAATAAATCCCTTTTGTGGGAAAAAACTCATTCGGTTTGGCTGGGCCTGGCTCCCCAGTGGGTGGGCCTGACTGCCAAGTGGGTGGGCCTATCCCCTGCCCAGTCGTGTGAAATCCATAGATTAGGGCCTAATTTAATTTATTTCAATTGACTGATTTCCTTATATGAACTGTAACTCAGTAAAATCTTTGAAATTGTTGCATGTTGCGTTTATATTTTTGTTCAGTATAGAATCAGCTGCCGGACAATTTTTTTCTTGAGCAGATGGTCGGGGGGCCGGAACATAATTACAAATAATTTGTAGACTGCAAATTGACCGCAAGAAGCACAAACAGATATAACGTTTGACTAAAACATAATCATTTCAAACCTTGCTTACATTTGTATACGATCACGTGTCTTTCTATTATATGTGGGAATACTTGAACAGATTTGGAGCTGATTTCCTGGTGTTTTTAGTCTTTCATGTCCAACAATGTAAATAAAAAAATATTGTTTGTTTGTTTGCTCAGACAACTTGGTGGCCAAATAAAACCATTACCTTTTTTTCCTATCTTTCCCCACTGTCATCCTCTCGCTCTATTCAGTAAAATCTGAAAAATACGTACATACTGTATACATACAGTGCCTTCGGAAAGAATTCAGACCCCTTGACTTGTTCCACATTTTGTTACGTTACAGCCTTATTCTAAAATTGATTAAATTGTTTTTTCCTTTCATCAATCTACACACAATACCCCATAATGACAAAGCAAAAATAGGTTTAGATTTTTTTGCAAATTTATTACAAATAAAAAATGTAAATATCACATTTACATAAGTATTCAGACACTTTACTCAGTACTTTGTTGAAGCACCTTTTGCAGCGATTACAGAATCGAGTCTTCTTGGGTTTGACGCTACAAGCTTGGCACACCTGTATTTGGGGAGTTTCTCCCATTCTCCTCTGCAGATCCTCTCAAGCTCTGCCAGGTTGGATGGGGAGTGTTGCTGCACAGCTATTTTCAGGTCTCTCCAGAGATGTTCGATCGGGTTCTGGCTGGGCCACTCAAGGACATTCAGAGACTTGTCCCAAAGCCATTCCTGCGTTGTCTTGGCTGTGTGATTAAGGTCGTTGTCCTGTTGGAAGGTGAACCTTCGCACCAGTCTGAGGTCCTGAGCGCTCTGGAGCAGGTTTTCATCAAGGATCTCGCTGTACTTTGCTCCGTTCATCTTTGCCTCGATCCTGACTAGTCTCCCAGTCCATGCCGCTGAAAAACATCCCCACAGCATGATGCTGCCAGTCACAGGTTTAATAGAGAGACTATGGGATACCCATCACCATGAAGGTACCACCAACTGCTTTTTCGCTGACTTATTGTGTGTGTGTGTGTGTGTGTGTGTGTGTGTGTGTGTGTGTGTGTGTGTGTGTGTGTGTGTGTGTGTGTGTGTGTGTACCCATGTGGATGGGTAATGGGTATGTTTTCCCAATGCCATAGAAAGGCTAATTTCAGTCAAAATAAACAACTTGTCTTGTATTGATTAAAGCCATTTCCCCCTGCCTGCCCCTGAGCCCTGCTCTAATGTGCTATCATTGGCTTAATGAGATGCAGGAAATGTCGTTGACCTCCAGTAGGGCCTCTGTGATTAGGGGGCCAACAGTGGCCAGACAGGCTCCCTTACGACCAGGGGTAAATGGAGTAGGCATTAAAGGTCCAGCATGTAGTTTTGGGTACGACTCAATTCATTCTGTCTGATAAGCGGCACATTAGATCTTGGATCCGGCCTACTGCTACACTTCCCCTCCGTAAATTTGGTTTTTGCTTATTTTTCCTCTAGCCCCAGCCCAGCTACCCCCCAGCCTCCCTTAGCCCCAGCCCAGCTACCCCCCAGTCTCTCCTAGCCCCAGCCAAGCTACCCCCCAGTCTCTCCTAGCCCCAGCCCAGCTACCCCCCAGTCTCTCCTAGCCCCAGCCCAGCTACCCCCAGCCTCCCTTAGCCCTAGCCTAGTTTTCCCCCAACCTTCCCCAGCCTTAGCATAACTTCCCCCGGTCTATCCTAGCCTGAGCCCAGCCCAGATTCCTCCAGCCTCCCCTAGCCCCAACCCAGCATCCTGCAACCTCCCTATACTCCCCAAGTCTCAACCCAGATCCCCCCACCTTCCCCCAGCCTTCCATTGCACCAATTCAGCGTCCCCCAGCCCAGATTCCGCCAACCATCCCATGTTCCCTCAGCCTCCCTTAGCTCCAGCCCAGTGCCAGCTTCCCCCAGACTTCCCAAGGCTTCCCTAGCTCCAGCCCAGTGCCAGATTCCCCCAGCTCCCCCCAGGCTTCTCTAGCTCCAGCCCAGCACCAGATTCCCCCAGGCTTCCCTAGTAGAAGGGCTGCTCAGTGGAATGTGAGGGAGATGTGTATCGTTTAATTGGACAGGGCGACTACTGACCTGGAACTCTGCCAAAACAGAGCTTTTGGCCTAGATGTGTGTTTACGAACCTGTGACAGATAAGAAAGAGGGAGAGGGGGAGAATAAACAGAACGCGTAAAGGGGAAGGGAATCGTGTGTGTGTGGCTCAGTTGGTAGAGCATGGCACTTGCAATGCCAGGATTGTGGGTTTGATTCCCACTGCGGTTGTTCCACCCATACAAAATGTTTATATGAGGCCTGAGTGGAGATGGACAGAAAAGGCAAGAATAAAAAAAAAAAGAAGAGGAGGAGGTTGTTTTGATGCTTGAGATCTAACATCAAATTACATTTTAGTCATTTATCAGACACTCTTATCCAGAGCGACTTACAGTTACTGAGTGCATACATTATTATGATAATTTTTTTCATACTGGCCCCCCGTGGGAATCGAACTCACAATTTTGGCGTTGCAAACAACATGCTCTACCAACTGAGCTACATCCCTGCCGGCCATTCCCTACCCTACCCTGGGCCAATTGTGCGCCGCCCCATGGGTCTCCCGGTCACAGCCGGCTACGACAGAGCCTGGATTCGAACCAGGATCTCTAGTGGCACAGCTAGCACTGCGATGCAGTGCCTTAGACCACTGCGCCACTCGGGAGATCTTGGAAATTACCCTAGTGGTCTCTAATACTGAGGCTTGGACAAATGGCATGGGTGTTGCCTCAAATGTAACCCTATTCCATTTTATAGGGCCCTTATGGCTCTGGTAAAAAATGGCGCACTATGTAGGGAATAGAGTACCATTAGGGACGCACCCATGTGCTGTTTCTCAAATGACAAATCAGACCCACTTGACTTGTGCAACTCTCAGTAGTTAGTTAGCACTAAGCAAAGCAGTGCCAGGAAGCCTTTAAAGAAGGGGGGTTTCCAATCATTTCTGAGGAGGCATTTCTGAGAAAACACACTAAAGCCTTTGAGTCAGAGTGACTGTACAAGTGTGTGTGTGTGTGTGTGTGTGTGTGTGTGTGTGTGTGTCAGCCCGGGAGAGGATGAAGAACAGATATCCTTTGTGCGTGTGTGTGTGCGTTTGCATGTGGGTGTAACGAGTCAAATGCAGTGTGTGTTTTCTCGGGTATATATTAAGGTTAAATAAGGTAGGTAGCCGGTACACACACAAATATATACACACACACACACATATATACATATACACACACACACATATATATATATATATATATATATATATATATATATATATATATATATATATATATATATATATATATATATATATATATATATATATATATATATATATATACATATATACATACATACATACAGTGGGGAGAACAAGTATTTGATACACTGCCGATTTTGCAGGTTTTCCTACTTACAAAGCATGTAGAGGTCTGTAATATTTATCATAGGTACACTTCAACTGTGAGAGACGGAATCTAAAACAAAAATCCAGAAAATCACATTGTATGATTTTTAAGTAATTAATTTGCATTTTATTGCATGACATAAGTATTTGATCACCTACCAACCAGTAAGAATTCCGGCTCTCACAGACCTGTTAGATTTTCTTTAATAAGCCCTCCTGTTCTCCACTCATTACCTGTATTAACTGCACCTGTTTGAACTCGTTACCTGTATAAAAGACACCTGTCCACACACTCAATCAAACAGACTCCAACCTCTCCACAATGGCCAAGACCAGAGAGCTGTGTAAAGACATCAGGGATAAAATTGTAGACCTGCACAAGGCTGGGATGGGCTACAGGACAATAGGCAAGCAGCTTGGTGAGAAGGCAACAACTGTTGGCGCAATTATTAGAAAATAGAAGAAGTTCAAGATGATGGTCAATCAACCTCGGTCTGGGGCTCCATGCAAAATCTCACCTCGTGGGGCATCAATGATCATGAGGAAGGTGAGGGATCAGTCCAGAACTACACGGCAGGACCTGGTCAATGACCTGAAGAGAGCTGGGACCACAGTCTCAAAGAAAACCATTAGTAACACACTACGCCGTCATGAATTAAAATCCTGCAGTGCACGCAAGGTCCCCCTGCTCAAGCCAGCGCATGTCCAGGCCCGTCTGAAGTTTGCCAATGACCATCTGGATGATCCAGAGGAGGAATGGGAGAAGGTCATGTGGTCTGATAAGACAAAAATATAGCTTTTTGGTCTAAACTCCACTCGCCGTGTTTGGAGGAAGAAGAAGGATGAGTACAACCCCAAGAACACCATTCCAACCGTGAAGCATGGAGGTGGAAACATCATTCTTTGGGGATGCTTTTCTGCAAAGGGGACAGGATGACTGCACCGTATTGAGGGGAGGATGGATGGGGCTATATATCGCGAGATCTTGGCCAACAACCTCCTTCCCTCAGTAAGAGCATTGAAGATGGGTTGTAGCTGGGTCTTCCAGCATGACAACGACCTGAAACACACAGCCAGGGCAACTAAGGAGTGGCTCCGTAAGAAGCATCTCAAGGTCCTGGAGTGGCCTAGCCAGTCTCCAGACCTGAACCCAATAGAAAATCTTTGGAGGGAGCTGACAGTCCGTATTGCCCAGCGACAGCCCCGAAATCTGGAGAAGGTCTGTATGGAGGAGTGGGCCAAAATCCCTGCTGCAGTGTGTGCAAACCTGGTCAAGACCTACAGGAATATTATGATCTCTGTAATTGCAAACAAAGGTTTCTGTACCAAATATTAAGTTCTGCTTTTCTGATGTATCAAATACTTATGTCATGCATTAAAATGCATATTAATTACTTAAAAATAATACAATGTGATTTTCTGGATTTTTGATTTTAGATTCCGTCTCTCACAGTTGATGTGTGCCTATGATAAAAATTACAGACCTCTACATGCTTTGTAAGTAGGAAAACCTGAAAAATCGGCAGTGTATCAAATACTTGTTCTCCCCACTGTATATGTATATATATATATATACACACACAAGCTCTTTATTCTGACTGGCATTGGGAAAACATACCCATTATCCATCCACATGGGTACACACACACACACACACACACAAAATACACACAGTTCTTACATTTGAGAATGGTTGTGTGTCACAGTCAAGGGTGGTGGGAGGTGGCTGAACCCTGGTGGGCAGTGCCTCTCCCTGGGGTGTGTGGGCCAGTTAATAATGAACCCTGGTGGTGCTGTGGGAGAGAGAGTTAATTATTATGATGGTGGGTAGTTGTGTGGGAGCGTTCTTGACTTTGGCTCCTGCCCTGCCAACAGGGGCCCCTGTGGCATGGCAGCTTATTTGTTGTTATTATCAGTGACCCCTAGAGCTGGGGCTCCTGTGTTAAGCGAGGCCTGAATTGTCCGCCCTCTCGAAAGCAATCTCTCTCTTTCTTTCTCTCTCTCTCTTACTCTCTCTCTCTCATTGTCTCCCGATGGGTCTCTCTCTCTGTCCCACTTTCTATCAGTTTATGTCTCTGTTTTACTCTCTCTCTCTCTTTCGCTCGCTCTTTCCATCATGTCTGCCCACAAGATGGATATCTTCACAACAAATATACCACTCTACAACTCCAAGGTGCACTTGGGCTGGTGTCATTCACATATGCACAGTATCAGGAATCCTGCTTAGATATTACAACATATAGCTTGAATTTAATCAATTACCTGATTTATTTGTCCTTCTGTGTCTGTTTTTAACTAAGTAAGGATGTCTCTTTCTCTGTCTCTGTTTTTAACTAAGAGGGACGTTTCTTTGTCTCTGTTATTAACTAAGAGAGGATGTTTCTTTGCCTCTGTTTTTAACTAAGAGAGGATGTTTCTTTGTCTCTGCTTTTAACTAAGTGAGGATTTCTTTAAAAAGCGCATCAAGTCTCTCTCCTCTCCCTCTGTCCCCCCTCTCTTTCTCTCGCTTTCTCTTTCTCCCATCTCCCCCTTTCTCTCACCCCCCTCTCTCACTCTCCCCCTCCTCTCTTTCTCTCCCTCCTCTCTCTCTGATTCAATCGGGGTGGTTTATCGATGTAATTGGTATGGAGAAAAGGTGGGTATGTAACTGAGTGAGGTTGTTTATTCTCTCTGTCTCCAGGAGATTGTGTCACTGCCAGGTTCTGACCTTCATCTGCCTGCTGGTCTCAGCCATCTGCCTGTCCTCCCAGCACAGCGTAAGTTAGTTCTGTCCTCTTCACCCCCTTCTCCAGCACACCTCATTAACACTGATAGACATGTCCACAGCGCCTGCTGAGCCTGGGTTTCCCATCGCTAAAGAAGTTTCTTATTTCTCTCCACAGCCCTGCTGCACAGCCGCGAGAGAGTAACAATTATACATTCTATGTGTGAACGAGCAGAATTTGTAAAATGAAGCACTTAACTGTTCTATGAGCGTGTGATTTCATGTTGTCAAGATAACACTACTAAATAACAAATAATAACACTTTCGCTAGGAAAGCTCAGACAAGAATGTTTGGATTCACCTCAACACCTACTGACTGGATGCCCACGATTTTGGGTCAGTTCATGAAAGTCCACATTTACAGTACCAGTCAAAAGTTTGGACACAGCTACTCAATCCAGGGTTTTTCTTTATTTTTACTATTTTCTACATTGTAGAATAATAGTGAAGACATCAAAACTACGAAATAACACATATGGAATCATGTAGTAACCAAAAAAGTGTTAAACAAATCAAAATATATTTTATATTTGAGATTCTTCATAGTAGCCACACTTTGCCTTGATGACAGCTTTGCACACTCTTGGCATTCTCTCAACCAGCTTCATGAGGTAGTCACCTGGAATGCATTTCAATAAACAGGTCTGCCTTGTTAAAAGGGAATTTGTGGAATTTCTTTCCTTCTTAATGTGTTTGAGCCAATCAGTTGTGTTGTGACAAAGTAGGGGTGGTATACAGAAGATAGCCCTATTTGGTAAAAGACCAAGCCACATTATGGCAAGAACAGCTCAAATAAGCAAAGAGAAACGACGGTCCATCTTTACTTTAAGGTCAGTCAATCCGGACAATTTCAAGCTCTATGATGAAACTGGCACTCATGAGGACCGCTACAGGAAAGGAAGACCCAGAGTTACCTCTGCTGCAGAGGATACGTTAATTAGAGTTACCAGCCTCAGAAATTGCAGCCCAAATAAATGCTTCACAGAGGTCAAGTAACAGACACATCTCAACATCAACTGTTCAGAGGAGACCGTGTGAATCAGGCCTTCATGGTCGAATTGCTGCAAAGAAACCACTACTAAAGGACACCAATAAGAAGAAGAGACTTGCTTGTCCAATAAACACAAGCAATGGACATTAGACCGATGGAAATGTGTCCTTTGGTCTGATGAGTCCAAATTTGAGATTTTTGGTTCCAACAGCCGTGTCTTTATGAGACGCAGAGTAGGTGAACGGATGATCTCCGCATGTGTGGTTCCCACCGTGAAGCATGGAGGAGGAGGTGTGATGGTATGGGGGTGCTTTGCTGGTGATACTGTTGGTGATTTTATTTAGTATTCAAGGCACACTTAACCAGCATGGCTACCACAGCATTCTGCAGCGATATGCCATCCCATCTGGTTTGCGCTTAGTGGGACTATCATTTGTTTTTCAACAGGACAATGACCCAACACACCTCCAGGCTGTGTAAGGGCTATTTGACCAAGAAGGAGAGTGATGGAGTGCTGCATCAGATGACCTGGCCTCCACAATCACCCAACCTCAACCCAATTGAGATGGTTTGGGATGAGTTGGACCGCAGAGTGAAGGAAAAGCAGCCAACAAGTGCTCAGCATATGTAGGAACTCCTTCAAAATGGTTGGAAAAGCATTCCAGGTGAAGCTGGTTGAGAGATTGCCAAGAGTGTGCAAAGCTGTCATCAAGGCGAAGGGTGGCTACTTTGAAGAATCTAAAATATAACACTTTTTTGGCTACTACATGATTCCATATGTGTTATTTCATTGTTTTGATTTCTTCACTATTATTCTATAATGTAGAAAATAGCAAAAAATAAATAAAAAACCCTTGAATGTGTAGGTGTCCAAACTTTTGACTGGTACTGTATGTTCCATTAATGGGACAGTGATGGGACATTTCCAATCATCCCCCTGAAATGGCTGAAGTGAAATGGAATTGAACCCATCCTGGCTGGACGCTTTATAAACTCACAGGCTCCATTTAGTAACCTGGTCCCAGATCTGTTTGTGCTGTCTTGCCAACTCCTATTGGCTTGACAATGACCATAGGAGTTGTCAAGACAGCACAAACAGGTCTGAGAACAGGGCCTGATTAGTGTAATGCTCTAATCTGTGCGAAGAATGTTGAGTACCAAATGGCACCCTATTCCCTATATAGTGCACTCCTAACCCTAACCCTATGGGCCCTGGTCAAAAGTAGTGGACTATATAAGGAATAGGGTGCCATTTGGGACACACCCCAAATCCCTGTTCTCCAGTGTTTCCCTGAGGAAAATCCAGGTCATTTAGATAATATACAAATCAAAGTTCTCCGACTAGTATCAGATGTGATGAGGGGTCCTGCTGGCATGGCTATTGAGGTTTTGAGGTTCTGGAAGAAAGGAGCTGATTGGAATGTTTGTGTAGCGTTTAGCGTGTTCCTATAGGGCTGGTTGTTGCTCTCCATCTCTCTCCCATCTGGGCACGCTCTAATTGCTGCGTTGCCCCTCGCTTCTTCTCCAAGCGGAGCGGCCATCTTTCATCACTGTTTGTCTGGTTGTCAGGGAGAGCCTGAGGGGAAGGGGGCTTTCCTGACACACATGCACACGTACACTCACCCCCCCCCCCCCCCCCCCCCCCCCATGACTTTCTCGTGAAATTCCATCCACTCCTTCCATTCTGTCCCTCCACAAATAGTTGGTCAGAGACGTCAAAGCCAAAGGCCTCCCTCTCAAGTGTCCCTCAGAACATTGACGCACAGACAGAACGGTTTAAAAGGCAGCTCCACTAAAAGTGGCAGCAAAACTGAACTTGAGGTTGGCCCTGGACTCTTCCTTTCACTCTTACTCTTTCTTTCTCTCTCTTGCTCTCTCACACATACCTCTCTCTCTCTCTTGCTCTCTCACACATACCTCTCTCTCTCAAACACACACACACTCCCATTGCCCTCAGGTGGCTGAGACTAGCTGAGGCAGTCAACCAAGCCCATCCATGTCTGTTAACCCTCAGCCAATCATCAGTGTCATTCCTCTGATTGACTGGGCTATAGTGAAAAGGGGAGGCATGCTCGAACAATCGAACTGAGCACTTTACAGGGATTTGTCCAACTAAGGTAGGCATGTGCCAAACTCTTCAAGCCAACAAAGGTGAAGTCATGGGCGGGATCTGAACCCAGGTCACCCATGATAGAAACCAAAGTCTCAAATCAAAGTTAATTGGTCGCATACACAGATTAGCAGATTTTATAGCGGTTGCAACGAAATGCTTAAATTACTAGCTCCTAACAATGCAGTTTAATGTCAAAAAAGTACACAAATAATAAAAAATATCAAATAAATAAAAAACACAACAGGGAATCAATACATTTCAGAACTAATCCAATGAACAACCCAAAAAGCACTGTAACAGTAATCCAAACGCAATCTGTACATATATACACCAGATTAAATAACATGAGATATACTAAGAATAATACCCTGTAAAAAGTAATTAGTTCTGCTAAGTACATTTATGAGCACATTCCTCTAGCAGTAAGGTAGAGCTACCTGTAAGCAGAACAGGATGCTGCATTAGCCTCTGGCATTAAGAGTGGTGCACATGGTTTTTAGAAATATACTTTTCTTTCTTCAAACTTCCATGCAAAATAAAGTCAAAATTATAATGACCCACTATTAAGTATTCATATCTTACAAAAACGTAATAATTCCAGATCAGATAAATCAAGTGTTTTTTTACTCAAATATCAATGTGTCTGACTACTACTTTATTCTTTAAATTGAAGATGTAAAACATAATAGAATCAAGTAAGAACAACTTAATAAATGTTAGATTGAACTTAAAATATTAAATCAACTTTAGATTAGCAGAACACAGATAAATAAAGTTATTTATAAAATAACCTATTATTTGTTAACAGTACTCAAAAACAGTAAGCGATAAGAACATCTGATTGACATCTGAGTTAGTACCACTTATATGATTTGAGTTCTACAGGCAGTTGGAGATAACCACTACACAATCGCTTTAAGAGTCAGGCAATTACTTTTTACGTACAGCAGTAGATACAGTTGAAGTCGGAAGTTTACATACATTTAGGTTGGAGTCATTAAAACTTGTTTTTCAACCACTCCACACCTTTCTTGTTAACAAACTATAGTTTTGGCAAGTCGGTTAGGACATCTACGTTGTGCATTACACAAGTAATTTTTCCAACAATTGTTTACAGACAGATTATTTCACTTATAATTCACTGTATCACAATTCCAGTGGGTCAGAAGTTTACATACACGAAGTTGACTGTGCCTTTAAACAGCTTGGAAAATTCCAGAAAATGATGGCTTCTGATAGGCTAATTGACATCATTTGAGTCAATTGGAGGTGTACCTGTGGATGTATTTCAAGGCCTACCTTCAAACTCAGTGCCTCTTTGCTTGACATCATGGGAAAATCAAAAGAAATCAGCCAAGACCTCAGAAAGAAAATTGTAGACCTCCACAAGTCTGGTTCATCATTGGGAGCAATTACCAAACGCCTGAAGGTACGACGTCCATCTGTACAAACAATAGTACGTAAGTATATACACCATGGGAACACGCAGCCGTCATACCACTCAGGAAGGAGACGCGTTCTGTCTCCTAGAGATGAACGTACTTTGGTGCGAAAAAGTGCAAATCAATCCCAGAACAACAGCAAAGGACCTTGTGAAGATGCTGGAGGAAACAGGTACAAAAGTATCAATATCCACAGTAAAACGAGTCCTATATCGACATAATCTGAATGGCCGCTCAGCAAGGAAGAAGCCACTGCTCCAAAACCGCCATAAAAAAGGCAGACTACGGTTTGCAACTGCACATGGGGACAAAGATCGTACATTTTGGAAACAAAAATAGAACTGTTTGGCCATAATGACCATTGTTATGTTTGGAGGAAAAAGGGGGTTGCTTGCAAGCCGAAGAACACCATCCCAACCGTGAAGCACGGGGGTGGCAGCATCATGCTGTGGGGGTGCTTTGCTGCAGGAGGGACTGGTGCACTTCACAAAATAGCTGGCATCATGAGGAAGGAAAATTATGTGGATATATTGAAGCAACATCTCAAGACATCAGTCAGGAAGTTAAAGCTTGGTTGCAAATGGGTCTTCCAAATGGACAATGACCCCAAGCATACTTCCAAAGTTGTGGCAAAATGGCTTAAGGACAACAAAGTCAAGGTATTGGAGTGGCCATCACAAAGCCCTGACCTCAATCCTATAGAAAATGTGTGGGCAGAACTGAAAAAGCGTGTGCGAGCAAGGAGGCCTACAAACCTGACTCAGTTACACCAGCTCTGTCAGGAGGAATGGGCCAAAATTCACCCAACTTATTGTGTGAAGCTTGTGGAAGGCTGCCCAAAACGTTTGACCCAAGTTAAACAATTTAAAGGCAATGCTACCAAATACTAATTGAGTGTATGTAAACCTCTGACCCACTGGGAATGTGATGAAAGAAATAAAAGCTGAAATAAATCATTCTCTCTACTATTATTCTGACATTTCACATTCTTAAAGTAAAGTGGTGATCCTAACTGACCTAAGACAGGGAATTTTTACTAGGATTAAATGTCAGGAATTGTGAAAAACAGAGTTTAAATGTATTTGGCTAAGGTGTATGTAAACTTCCGACTTCAACTGTATATTAGAGTGAGCTATGTCAAGAATCCAGTATATAAATAAATATGAGGTGTGTGTGTGTGTGTGTGTGTGTGTGTGTGTGTGTGTATAAACAGTGTAACTAAAATGCAATGTACAGTAGTAGAAATATTAGAATGAGCTATGTCGAGAATACAGAATTTAAATACACAGGACAAAACCACATAGCAAAATGGATAGAATTGCAGGAAATTAGTGGAATATAAATAAACAGTGCCTTCAGAAAGTATTCACACCCCTTTACTTTTTCCACATTTTGTTGTGTTACAGCCTGAATTTAAAAGGGATTACATTTAGATTTTGTGTCACTGATCTACACACCATACCCCATATTGTCAAAGTGGAATTATGTTTTTAGAAATGTTTACAAATTAATAAAAACGTTGCTGAAATGTCTTGCGTCAATAAGTATTCAAACCCTTTGTTATGGCAATCCTAAATAAGTTCAGAAGTAAAAATGTGCTTAACAAGACAGATAGTAAGTTGCATGGACTAACTGTATGCAATACTAGTGTTTGAAAAAGAAAAGGAGAGCCGCACACTCTAGGAGCTCAGATGTTATAATTTAATAACCTAATAACCAACGTTTCGACAGTCCAAACGTTGGTTATTAGGTTATTACATTATAACATCTGAGCTCTTAGTGTGCAGCTTTCCTTTTCTTTTTCAAGTGTTCTACTCCGTTAGCCAGCACCTCGCCTAAATAGGTGTTCTACTCTGTTAGCCAGCACCTCTCCTAAACAGGTGTTCTACTCCGTTAGCCAGCACCTCGCCTAAATAGGTGTTCTACTCTGTTAGCCAGCACCTCGCCTAAATAGGTGTTCTACTCCGCTAGCCAGCACCTCTCCTAAACAGGTGTTCTACTCCGTTAGCCAGCACCTCGCCTAAATAGGTGTTCTACTCTGTTAGCCAGCACCTCGCCTAAATAGGTGTCCTACTCCGCTAGCCAGCACCTCTCCTAAACAGGTGTTCTACTCCGTTAGCCAGCACCTCGCCTAAATAGATGTTCTACTCCGTTAGCCAGCACCTCTCCTAAATAGGTGTTCTGCTCCGTTAGCCAGCACCTCGCCTAAATAGGTGTTCTACTCCGTTAGCCAGCACCTCTCCTAAATAGGTGTGCGTTTCTTTCGCCTCCACAATAATAGTGTTTAACATGATTTTTGAATGACTACCTCATCTCTGTACCCCACACATACAATTATCTGTAACGTCCCTCAGTCGAGCAGTGAATTTGAAGCACAGATTCAACGACAAAGACCAAGGAGGTTTTCCAATGCCTCGCAAAGAAGGGCACCTATTGGTAGATGGGTAAAAATATATATAATCTGACATTGACTATCTCTTTCAGCATGGTGAAGTTATTAATTACACTTTGGATGGTGTATCAATACACCCAGTCACTACAAAGATACAGGTGTCCTTCCTAACTCAGTGGCCGGAGAGGAAGGAAACCGTTTAGGGATTTCACCATGAGGCCAATGGTGATTTTAAGCCAGTTACAGAGTTTAATGGCTGTGATGGGAGAAAACTGAGGATTAATCAACAACATTGTAGTTACTGCACAATACTAACAATTGACAGAGTGAAAAGAAGGAAGTCTGTACAGAATACAAATATTTCAAAACATGCATCCTGTTTGCAATAAGGCACTAAAGTAATACTGCAAAAAATGTGGCAAAGAAATGAACTTTTTGTCCTGAATACAAAGCATTATGTGTTATGTTTGGGGCAAATCCAACACAACATCACTGAGTACCACTATTCATATTTTCAAGCATGTTGGTGGCTGCATCATGTTATGGGTATGTTTGTCATCGGTAAGGACTAGGGAGTTTTTTAGGATAACAATTAAAGGAATAGAGCTAAGCACAGGCAAAATCCTAGAGGAAAACCTGGTTTAGTCTGCTTTCCAACAGACACTGGGGGACAAATCCACCTTTCAGCAGAACTATAACCTAAAACGCAATGCCAAATATACACTGGTGTTACTTAACAAGATGACATTGAATGTTCCTGAGTGGCCTAGTTACAGTTCTGACTTAAATCGGCTTGAAAATCTATGGCAAGACTTGACAATGGCTATGTAGCAATGATCAACAACCAACTTAACAGAGCTTGAAGAATTTTAAAAAGAATAATGGGCAAATATTGTAAAATCCAGGTTTGCTAAGTTCTTAGAGACTTACCCAGAAAGACTCACAGCCGCAATCGTTGCCTAAGGTTGATTCTAACATGTATTAACTAAGGGGATTGAATACTTATTTTACATACATTTACATTTTTAGAAAAATGTTCTTCCACTTTGACATTACAGAGTTATTTGTGCAGATCGTTAACAAAAAATGGAAATGAAATACATTTGAATCCCACTTTGTAACACAACAACATTTTGAAAAAGTCAAGGGTTATGAATACTTTCTGAAGGCACTGTATATGTATGTGAATGATGTGTATCGACCATATGGACAGTATGTGAATAGAAAGTTGTGTGTATAGCAATAGTTAAATAGGATTAGCCATGACTAGAATACAGTATATACATATTAATTGGGAAAAACAGCATATAAACATTATGTGACCGAGTCTAAGGTTCAGGGCAGGGTACTGGGCGGAGGCCGGCTAGTAGTGACTGTTTAACAGTCTGATGGCCTGGAGATAGAAGCTGTTTATCAGTCTCTCGGTCCCAGCTTTGATGCACCTGTACTGTCTCCGCCTTTATAGGTGGTAGTGGGGTGAACAGGCTGTGTCTCGGGGAGGCTGAGGTCCTTGATCTTCTTGGCCTTCCTGTGACACCGGGTGCTGTAGATGTCCCGGAGGGCAGGTAGTGTTCCCCCGATGAAGCGTTGGGCTGACCACACCACCATCTGGAGAGCCCTGTGGTTGCGGACGGTGCAATTGCCGTACCAGGCGGTGATACAGCCCGACAGGATGCTCGCAATGGTGCATCTGTAGAAGTTCGTGAGGGTCTTAGGTGCTAAGCCGAATTCCTTCAGCCTCCTCAGGTTGAAGAGGCGCTGTTGCACCTTCTTCACCACCCTGTCTGTGTGAAGGGACCATTTCAGGTCGCTAGTGATGTGCACGCAGAGGAACATGAAGCTTTTTACCCTCTCCACTGCGGCCCCGTCGATGTGGATGGGGGTGTGCTCTCTCTGCTGTTTCCTGTAGTAAACGATCAGCTCCTTCGTTTTGTTGATGTTGAGGGAGAGGTTATTTTCCTGGCACCACTCTGCCAGCGCTCTCACCTCCTCGTCATTGTTGGGAATCAGGCCTACCAGTTTTGTGTTGTCAGCAAACTTGATAATTGAGTTGGAGACGTGCCTGGCCACACAGTCATGGGTGAACAGGGAGTACACCGTTATAGACGTGACATTGATTTTGAAGTCTCAGGCAGGGCCACCTTATCACGAGACCATGAGCCTGCGGCGTGTCACTACACACAGAACCCAAAGAAAACAGGTGCTGGGCAAAAATGCACTATATATAAAGAAAGGCCAGCACACTGTATAATGCTGCTCCCCTGTGCTTTGTCCATCCACCATGTTACACAAACAACAATTCAACTTTGGGGAAGTCTTTATTGTCTTACCTAAACTCTTACCTGAGTCTTACCTGAAATCTTACCTGAGTCCTACCTGAAATCTTACCTGAGTCATTCAGATGCAAAATTATACACTTGAAAAACAACAATCAACCTTGAGAACTACCATAGATTCCAATCATAGTGTTTAGTCTTTATTAAGGTGTGAATAGAAATGGTATGAATGACGTGTTTTGCATCTGCTTCATCAGGGCCCGTATTCTGGAAGCGTCTCAGAGTAGGACTGTTGATCTAGGATGTCCTGTCCATGTAAGAATATAAAGGCAAAACTGATCCTAGATCAGCACAGTTCTGTTCTTTTTTCTGGGATTAGTTCATGCACGTGTTCCTACAGCCACAAATCCACAATCTATTCTAACAGCCAAGTAAACCTAGTGCTGATTTAGGATCTGTCTTCCCTTTTGCATCACAATGAATAAGATTACATAGACGGGGGACCTGATCCTAGATCAGCACAACAACCCTGAGATGTCTATCCATTCTGGCAGCCAAGTCAACCTGATTACCTATAAGCCACTCTGAGGGCGTTCAATTCAGTGGTCTTGTGGTTAGACTGTCCGCCTTGAGATTGGAAGGTTGTGGGTTTGATCCCCGGTCGAGTCGTACCAAAGATTCTAAAAACGGGGCCTCTCTGCTTGGCAGTAGGGAGTTAGTTTGGGGGTAAGGCCATGCGACAGACTAGCATAGCATCCTGTCCTAGGGGTTGTACTTGTACATCAAGCTGCCTCACACTACAGAAAAAGGAGATAGGCTCCTGTCCTATGGGCCGTTCTGGCTCGGACAATGATTACTTATTTACTCTGTAGAAGTCAAGGGGATCCCTGATTTGCTGTACCTTACCTTCAGTCACCTCTCCCGGAATAGATAGGGGGATAAGGGGATTGGAAAGGTCAAAGGTTGTTTTCATTAATCTAGCATGCCGGGCCTTCCCATCTCCAACTGTTATCGATGCTAATTTAACTAGAGGTGGCGGTAACCCCAGGTCACCCTGCCATGGACCATATGTGACCTACCACCTTGAGTCGGTCTTATCTAGCAACATTTGAAATGGTGTCTTTTTACATTGGATAAAAGCAGAGACACAGAGCTACAAAATGGTATATCATACACTGCATTTGAGGAACAATGGTAAAGTAATGCTGCTTTGAAAGTTGATAAACTTGTAACCTCACTTTTGAGAAAATGGCCTTTGAATGTTTTGGTACCTACTGGAGAGCTCTTCTTTGTCTACACCCATTCACCATCGCTCACACCCTCTTAAGCTTTAGCCCCACCCATCTCTTTAAGCGTTGATCCGAGCGTTCTGTACTAGCAACAGCAGTCAAGCACCCAAGCTAACTGGCTAACTTGCTAGCTGCTTCCAGACACAAATGAGAGAACAGCTCACTGACCGTTACTCACCCTAGCAGAGCTGGTTAGGCTGTTTTTATGTTATCCAGAGCATTGGTGACTGCAACTGTGCTGCTGGCAACAATTTATGCTTTTTTGCCAACGTTTACTGACACCGGCCATAAGTGTTCGTGAATTTGTCAGTTATTCTGCGCTCTGGCACACTCAGACGGGAGTGCTCTGAAATCGGAGTAGTTAGCCAGAGCAAATTTACCAGCTACGTCTATCAACAGTTGTGGCAGTGACATTCTATTGAAATGGTTACTTGCATAGTGGTGTCTTTTGTTAAGACATGTAGCTAGCTAGCTAGCTAGGTAAATAATGAACCATAATCCCAACTCATGACGTTACTACCCTGCATGAATCTGCAGGTAGCTAACCAACCAGGTTCAATGTTTGCTAGCTAACATTAGGCTATAACTAGCAAAGCAAATGGCTCTGAGATACGAATAATAAGATCATACACGTAACATTAGCTAGCGAGCCAGCCAGCTAACATTAGCTAGCTAGCTAACAGTACACTTTAACTTGAAATGAAACCACTTTCTGTCAAAATTTGAAATGTGTAATATCTGAAAATGTAGTTAGCTAGACTATATTACCCGTATACATCATGGATGGATGCGTCTCCCTGTCACAGATGCCATGGTTGCCCTTAGTTTGAGAATGTTTTCTCCATCTCCTTAGCTATCATACTTGAATTCCACTGATTTTCAAAACTTGGTCCTCCAGAAAGTGGAGAGCAACACTTATGCAGTTTTACTACGCAATACATTTTTTTAAAGCCACGTTAGACACGATTACCTACACATACTGACCAGCTCAAATAGACAGAAGTGTGCTACAGTGAGGGAAAAAAGTATTTGATCCCCTGCTGATTTTGTACGTTTGCCCACTGACAAAGACATGATCAGTCTATAATTGTAATGGTAGGTTAATTTGAACAGTGAGAGACAGAATAACAACAACAAAAAATCCAGAAAAACGCATGTCAAAAATGTTATAAATTGATTTGCATTTGAATGAGGGAAATAAGTATTTGACCCCTCTGCAAAACATGACTTAGTACTTGGTGGCAAAACCCTTGTTGGCAATCACAGAGGTCAGACGTTTCTTGTAGTTGGTCACCAGGTTTGCACACATCTCAGGAGGGATTTTGTTCCACTCCTCCTTGCAGATCATCTCCAAGTCATTAAGGTTTCGAGGCTGACGTTTGGCAACTCGAACCTTCAGCTCCCTCCACAGATTTTCTATGGGTTTTAGGTCTGGAGATTGGCTAGGCCACTCCAGGACCTTAATGTGCTTCTTCTTGAGCCACTCCTTTGTTGCCTTGGCCGTGTGTTTTGGGTCATTGTCATGCTGGAATACCCATTCACGACCCATTTTCAATGTCCTGGCTGAGGGAAGGAAGTTCTCACCCAAGATTTGACGGTACATGGCCCCGTCCATCATCCCTTTGATGCGGTGAAGTTGTCCTGTCCCCTTAGCAGAAAAACACCCCCAAAGCATAATGTTTCCACCTCCATGGTTGACGGTGGGGATGGTGTTCTTGGGGTCATAGGCAGCATTCCTCCTCCTCCAAACACGGCGAGTTGAGTTGATGCCAAATAACTCGATTTTGGTCTCATCTGACCACAACACTTTCACCCAGTTCTCCTCTGAATCATTCAGATGTTCATTGGCAAACTTCAGACGGCCCTGTATATGTGCTTTCTTGAGCAGGGGGACCTTGCGGGCGCTGCAGGATTTCAGTCCTTCACGGCGTAGTGTGTTACCAATTGTTTTCTTGGTGACTATGGTCCCAGCTGCCTTGAGATCATTGACAAGATCCTCCTGTGTAGTTCTGGGCTGATTCCTCACCGTTCTCATGATCATTGCAACTCCACGAGGTGAGATCTTGCATGGAGCCCCAGGCCGGGGGGGGTTTACAGTTCTTTTGTGTTTCTTCCATTTGCGAATAATCGCACCAACTGTTGTCACCTTCTCACCAAGCTGCTTGGCGATGGTCTTGTAGCCCATTCCAGCCTTGTGTAGGTCTACAATCCTGTCCCTGACATCCTTGGAGAGCTCTTTGGTCTTGGACAGGTGTCTTTTATACAGGGAACAAGATGAGATTAGGAGCACTCCCTTTAAGAGTGTGCTCCTAATCTCAACTCGTTTCCTGTATAAAAGACACCTGGGAGCCAGAAATCTTTCTGATTGAGAGGGGGTCAAATACTTATTTCCCTCATTAAAATGCAAATAAATTTATAATATTTTTGACATGCGTCTTTATGGATGTTTTTGTTGTTATTCTGTCTCTCACTGTTCAAATAAACCTACCATTTAAAATTATAGACTGATCATTTCTTTGTCAGTGGGCAAACATACAAAATCAGCAGGGGATCAAATACTTTTTTCCCTCACTGTATATTGCAGACCAATCCGAACTCGTCTCTCGGCATGTCCAGCCACTCATTATCTCAGCCAATCATGGCTAGCGGGAAGGTTGCTGTCTTTTTCTGTAGCTTAACCAACTAGGCTCGTAATCAGTGGTGGAAAAAGTACCCAATTGTCATACTTGAGTAAAAGTAAAGATACCTTAATAGAAAATGACTCAAGTGAAAGTCACCCAGTAAAATACTACTTGAATAAAAGTCTAAAAGTATTTGGTTTTAAATATACTTAAGTATCAAAAGTAAATGTAATTACTAAAATGTACTTAAGTATCAAAGTAAAAGTATGAATAATAACTTATTAAGCAAACCAGTAGGCACAATTTTTAGTGTTTCTTATTTATTTATGGATAACCAGGAGCATTTATGTGATAGAGATGACGTTTTTATATATAGCACTAAACAACTGGCTTCCCCAAGGTGATCTTGTTGACAGGTAGCAGGGTGTGAACACACACACACACACACACACTTGAAATAGATTTATGTGATAGAGATGAAGTTTTTATATATAGCACTAAACAACTGGCTTCCCCAATGTGATCTTGTTGACAGGTAGCAGGGTGTGAACACACACACACACACACACACACACATACACACACACACACACACACACACACTTGAAATAGATTTATGTGATAGAGATGAAGTTTTTATATATAGCACTTAACAACTAGCTTCCCCAAGGTGATCTTGTTGACAGGTAGCAGGGTGTGAACACACACACACACACACACATATACACACACACACACACACACACACACACACACACACACACACACACACACACACACACACACACTTGAAATAGATTTATGTGATAGAGATGAAGTTTTTATATATAGCACTAAACAACTGGCTTCCCCAAGGTGATCTTGTTGACAGGTAGCAGGGTGTGAACACACACACACACACACACACACACACACACATATACACACACACACACACACACACTTGAAATAGATTTATGTGATAGAGATGAAGTTTTTATATATAGCACTAAACAACTGGCTTCCCCAAGGTGATCTTGTTGACAGGTAGCAGGGTGTGAACACACACACACACACACACACACACATACACACACACACACACACACACACACACACACTTGAAATAGATTTATGTGATAGAGATGAAGTTTTTATATATAGCACTAAACAACTGGCTTCCCCAAGGTGATCTTGTTGACAGGTAGCAGGGTGTGAACACACACACACACACACACACACACACTTGAAATAGATTTATGTGATAGAGATGAAGTTTTTATACACTGCTCAAAAAAATAAAGGGAACACTTAAACAACACAATGTAACTCCAAGTCAATCACACTTCTGTGAAATCAAACTGTCCACTTAGGAAGCAACACTGATTGACAATACATTTCACATGCTGTTGTGCAAATGGAATAGACAACAGGTGGAAATTATAGGCAATTAGCAAGACACCCCCAATAAAGGACTGGTTTTGCAGTTGGTGACCAAAGACCACTTCTCAGTTCCTATGCTTCCTGGCTGATGTTTTGGTCACTTTTGAATGCTGGCGGTGCTTTCACTCTAGTGGTAGCATGAGACGGAGTCTACAACCCACACAAGTGGCTCAGGTAGTGCATCTCATCCAGGATGGCACATCAATGCGAGCTGTGGCAAGAAGGTTTGCTGTGTCTGTCAGCGTAGTGTCCAGAGCATGGAGGCGCTACCAGGAGACAGGCCAGTACATCAGGAGACGTGGAGGAGGCCGTAGGAGGGCAACAACCCAGCAGCAGGACTGCTACCTCCACCTTTGTGCAAGGAGGAGCAGGAGGAGCACTGCCAGAGCCCTGCAAAATGACCTCCAGCAGGCCACAAATGTGCATGTGTCTGCTCAAACGGTCAGAAACAGACTCCATGAGGGTGGTATGAGGGCCCGACGTCCACAGGTGGGGGTTGTGCTTACAGCCCAACACTGTGCAGGACGTTTGGCATTTGAGAAGAACACCAAGATTGGCAAATTCGCCACTGGCGCCCTGTGCTCTTCACAGATGAAAGCAGGTTCACACTGAGCACGTGACAGACGTGACAGAGTCTGGAGATGCCGTGGAGAACGTTCTGCTGCCTGCAACATCCTCCAGCATGACCGGTTTGGCGGTGGGTCAGTCATGGTGTGGGGTGGCATTTCTTTGGGGGGCCGCACAGCCCTCCATGTGCTCGCCAGAGGTAGTCTGACTGCCATTAGGTACCGAGATGAGATCCTCAGACCCTTTGTGAGACCATATACTGGTGCGGTTGGCCCTGGGTTCCTCCTAATGCAAGACAATGCTAGACCTCATGTGGCTGGAGTGTATCAGCGGTTCCTGCAAGAGGAAGGCATTGATGCTATGGACTGGCCCGCCCGTTCCCCAGACCTGAAACCAATTGAGCACATCTGGGACATCATGTCTCGCTCCATCCACCAACGCCACGTTGCACCACAGACTGTCCAGGAGTTGGCGGATGCTTTAGTCCAGGTCTGGGAGGAGATCCCTCAGGACTCAGGAGACCATCCGCCACCTCATCAGGAGCATGCCCAGGCGTTGTAGGGAGGTCATACAGGCACGTGGAGGCCACACACACTACTGAGCCTCATTTTGACTTGTTTTAAGGACATTACATCAAAGTTGGATCAGCCTGTAGTGTGGTTTTCCACTTACATTTTGAGGGTGACTCCAAATCCAGACCTCCATGGGTTGATACATTTGATTTCCATTGATAATGTTTGTGTGATTTTGTTGTCAGCACATTCAACTATGTAATGAAAAAAGTATTTAATAAGATTATTTCATTCATTCAGATCTAGGATGTGTTATTTTAGTGTTCCCTTAATTTTTTTGAGCAGTGTATATAGCACTAAACAACTGGCTTCCCCAAGGTGATCTTGTTGACAGGTAGCAGGGTGTGAACACACACACACACACACACACACACATACACACACACACACACACACACTTGAAATAGATTTATGTGATAGAGATGAAGTTTTTATATATAGCACTTAACAACTGGCTTCCCCAAGGTGATCTTGTTGACAGGTAGCAGGGTGTGAACACACACACACACACTACACTACACTACACACCCCTTTCACACATTTATGGTATTTACCTCACCTATACCTCGCTTTCACCCCCTCCTCACACACAAACACATTGATGCACTCAAACACACACAGTCGCACACACAATCACACACACACAGACTGATATGTTAAATACTTATCCAGGCATTGTAAGATCTGGCATGCGTCTGCAGAGTTGTTGGCTTTATTCTGGCAATACATTTACATGCTCAATCATTTGGAATAAATGTACTGCTTTAATTATAATATGTGAGTGGTAATAATGTAAACTGATTTGACTGTTGTCTACGTGTATTGTTGAATGACCAAATCAATCAGTCAATCGTTCAATCCAAAGTGACGTATCTTCTAAGGAATCATAATTGGGCCCGTAGAGAATCCATCGTCCAACCAATAAGCTAATGGCCTTGGCTCTTTGGGATCAATTCTGTAGTAAATCAATGAATAATCAGTTGATGCAGAATGCTGTTTATATAGTATGTGAACCATATAAATATATCAATAGATAGAATCTAGTTTACTTTACGTCAATACATTATGTTGACCTCTGAGTTTACAGTTCTTTTGTGTTTCTTCCATTTGCGAATAATCGCACCAACTGTTGTCACCTTCTCACCAAGCTGCTTGGCGATGGTCTTGTAGCCCATTCCAGCCTTGTGTAGGTCTACAATCCTGTCCCTGACATCCTTTGAGAGCTCTTTGGTCTTGGACAGGTGTCTTTTATACAGGGAACAAGCTGAGATTAGGAGCACTCCCTTTAAGAGTGTGCTCCTAATCTCAGTTCGTTTCCTGTATAAAAGACACCTGGGAGCCAGAAATCTTTCTGATTGAGAGGGGGTCAAATACTTAGAGAATCCATCGTCCAACCAATAAGCTAATGGCCTTGGCTCTTTGGGATCAATTCTGTAGTAAATCAATGAATAATCAGTTGATGCAGAATGCTGTTTATATAGTATGTGAACCATATAAATATATCAATAGATAGAATCTAGTTTACTTTACGTCAATACATTATGTTGACCTCTGACCTTCTGTGTCTCAGTCTTCCTGGGTGTCTGCGTGGGGTCCGTCGGAGGGTCGTCCAGCGCGTGCCCGACGACAGCTGCACTACAGGAACGAATGGGCCTCGTGGAACGGCTGGTCTGTGTGCTCGCGCTCATGTGGGGGAGGAGCCTCGGTGCGTACACGCACCTGCATCACCAGGTAAGAACCAGGGATGGACCAATCACAACAGAGATCTACTTCAAACAGGTTAATCCTCAAAAAATGAAAGTGAATGACTTTGTAGGCTGCTTTCTCTGTATTTGCTGTGATCTGTCTAGTAATACAACATGGGAAACAGAATGACTACCACAAACTTTCCCATTCAAGTCAGCTTTCTGTAATGGGATGACCAGTGGCCTTATTTAGTGTGCCCTGAAGTGTACAGTCAAATTGCTGGGGTCTTAAGAACTTTGCCTGTTCTAGTCATTCTATTTCTTATGTATGAATCCAATTCATTAAAGGTCCAATGCAGCTGTTTTTATCTCAATATCAAATAATTTCTGGGTAATTGGCAGAGTTTTGAACTCTTTCTTATTGGTTTATTAACTAATTTACCGCCTAGTGATGTCACCAGGCAGGCCAAAGCTCCATCCCATTAAAACAGGCTGAAATTTCAGGCTGTCTTTTCAAACAGCTCTTACACTAAAAGTGCATTACCATAATTTTCACAATTTCAAAGTGTTATTCAAACCTTATTTTGTGTAAATATGTATAAAACATAACATTTTGACCACAATGGTCCCAGTCAGATTTACTACTTCTCATCCATTCATAAAGACTGACTCTGTCCGGAACCTTGGGGCCATGCTCAGAACCAGACAATACAAATCTGCAACCCAAGTATGTTCAACACATACATCACACACATGGACCAGTATGCTGTGTTTGCACATGTCTATCATAACATGCCAAGACCTAGTGGTCCAGTACAACATCCAGAATATCATGCAGCGGAGTGTCAAGCTTGTAGGCACCAATGGAAACCGTTTCTAAATGTTTTAAGAATATTTAAACCAGATGTTTCGTTTTGGATAGGTCCAGGAAGTCCCTTTATGGTCGTTTTCCTTTCGGGCTAAATAACCATCCCTGGACTATCGTGAAGGCCACTCCCTGACTCCTGCCATAGGACAAACCGTTGCATGCAACATTACAAAACCAACAGAACATGGAGTTGCTAAAGCAACACAACAGATGTGGAACCCTGCATCAGCCTTGTGTGTATGACAGGAATTTGTAACCTTTCAATTTGTCACTTGCTGCTTTTTTGGGGGAGGTTTGTGTAACACATAGATTCCACTGTCTTGTTGTAACTGTAACTTGTTATCATGTGCTGTCTACTGCAGACCCCCAATCACGCTTTGCCCCAAGACACAAGGGTTTGATTCCCGGGTCCGCCCTAAAGTCAATCACTTTTAACCCTACATCATCCCTTTCTTCACTGTCTAAGAATAACCAAGCCGAATAATTTTTTTTATCTGTTCTCCTTCAAAAAAGTTGTAATCAGAATCACAACAACTTTTGAATGATGGATTTATATACAGAATGGTCTTAATCGATGCAGACTTTCATATTGTTGTCAAACATTTTGAAACGATAAGCTGAGTGTGCTTGAGGGCTGATAACAAAGTTGGTTCAGTGAATGTGAACTGTGCTGTTACTATATTTAACCAAGCAGGTATACTGTCTGGGCGTGATCAGTTTCACTGAAAACATGAACCTGTCACTTCATTGTACTGTACAGAAGTTGAGCTCCTGATACTATATGAACAGTGCATATGCTTCTATCGGAGTCCCATAAATAGATAGATATAACATAGAGTTTTCATCTACACCCTCATGATATATATTCTTGAAGATATACCGTCCAAGATGTTGGTTTTCTTGGAAAGTTTACGGTGCGGATCCTGTGGGTGTGGGTGTGTTTAGACAGTGAGTCAGTATTTTTTTAAATATTTTACCATTATTTAACTAGGCAAGTCAGTTAAGAACAAATTCTTATTTACAATGATGGCCTACACCAGCCAAACCCGGACGACGCTGGGCCAATTGTGCGCCGCCCTATGGGACTCCCAATCACGGCCAGTTGTGATACAGCCTGGAATCGAACCAGGGGGTCTGTAGTGACGCCTCAAGCACTGAGATGCAGTGCCTTAGACCGCTGCGCCACTCGGGAGCCCAGTACAGTATATTAATGAACTCTAAACATATTAACATCAGATGGTGAGGTGTTTTGAGGCATGCACGTGTGAGTACATAGCACTGGGTAACCAGGTCTCTCTGTGTCTGTCTGCTGTAGGGGTGTACTGGGGGCTCAGAGGACTTCAGGGAGATGCAGTGTTCTGCCTACAACGACAGACCGCTGGTGGCTGGAAACAGCTACAGATGGACCACCTTCCATGGAGGTCGGTGAGGCATGACACGTGTGTGTGTGTGTGTGTGTGTGTGTGTGTGTGTGCGTGTGCGTGCTAAATGTGGCATGTGTCCATTTGGAAATCTGCTTGTCATTTGGCCACACCTGTATTATGAGTTCAGTCCATACTCTCCACTGACCTGTTTCACTCTTTCCCCTCTACACCCTATCCCCCACCACTGCTTCCCCACTTCCCCCTTCTCCTACCGTCTTCCCTCTTCTCCTACCTCCTTCCCCATTCTCCTTCCCCCTTTCCCTCTTATCCTACCTCCTTCCCCTCTTCCCTCTTCTCCTACCTCCTTCCCTCTCCTCCTACCTCCTACCTCCTTCCCTCTCCTCCTACCTCCTTTCCCCTTCTCCAACCTCCTTTCCCTCTCCTCCTACCTCCTTTCCCCTTCTCCTACCTCCTTTCCCCTTCTCCAACCTCCTTTCCCTCTTCTCCTACCTCCTTCTCCTACCTCCTACCTCCTTCCCCCATCTCCTACCTATTCTCCTACCTCCTTCCCCTTCTCCTACCTCCTACCTCCTTCCCCCTTCTCCTACCTCCTTCCCCCCTTCCCCCTTCTTCTATCTCCTTCTCCTACCTCCTTCCCCCTTCTCCTACCTCCTTCCCCTTCTCCTACCTCCTACCTCCTTTCCCCTTCTCCTACCTCCTTCCCCCCTTCCCCCTTCTCCTACCTCCTTCACCCTTCTCCTACCTCCTTCCCCCTTCTCCTACCTCCTTCTCCTACCTCCTACCTCCTTCCCTCTTCTCCTACCTCATTCCATTCCCATCTGTCCCCCACCTGCTACAAGTTACCTCCTTCCTTCAATTCTAATGTAAAGTTTTTTTAAAACCCTGTACTGCTGTGCTATGGCTAGGAGACAATAGACTAGAATGCAATGTTTCATAGACACTGCAGCCAGTAACCTGACTAACCCAACTTTCTAGTACCTGTAACTGTACTGTTTAGTCGTAGCTGAGAGGTAATGTCTGTCAGTGAGGTGGTTGTATATACAGTATCAGTCAAAAGTTTGGACACACCTACTAATTACAGGGGTTTTTCTTTATTTTTACAATTTTTTACATTGTAGATTAATAGTGAAGACATCAAAACTATAAAATAACACATATGGAATCATGTAGTAACCAAAAAAAGTGTTAAACAAATCAAAATATATTTTATATTTGAGATTCTTCAAAGTAGCCAACCTTTACCTTGATGACAGCTTTGCACACTCTTGGCAATTTGATTTGTTTAACACTTTTTTGGTTACTACATGATTCCATATGTGTTATTTCATAGTTTTGATGTCTTCACAATTATTCTACAATGTAGAAAATAGTAAAAATAAAGAAAAACCCTGGAATGAGTAGGTGTGTCCAAACTTTTGACTAGTGCTGTATGTGTACGTTTAGATTGTTATATAATACCACCTACTCTAACTTCCCTCCTCTCCTAAGGTTCTAACCCATGTGAGTTGAGCTGTCTGGCCCTGGGTCACAACTTCTACTACAACTTTGGTCGCGTCCTGGACGGCACTGCCTGCAGTAAAGAGCCTGGAGCTGTGTGTGTCAACGGAAAATGCTTGGTGAGTGACAATTTTGTGTGTGTCCCCCCACTATGCAGAGAGGTGGTTTCACGATGTGTGTGTGTCAGGCAGTATGGGAATCGAAGGCACACATTCTTTCTCTCACTCTTGCCCTTTCTGTCTCTCTCTCTCTGTCTGTCTGTCTCTCTCTGTCTGTCTCTCTCTCTCTCTGTCTCTCTCTCTCTGTCTCTCTCTCTCTGTCTGTCTCTCTCTCTGTCTCTCTCTCTGTCTCTCTCTCTCTCTCTGTCTCTCTCTGTCTCTCTCTCTGTCTCTCTCTCTGTCTCTCTCTGTCTGGACAGTATTAGGACTGTGTTTGCCATTTCCTCTGGTTCACTCAGCAGTAGTGCACTCATCCTGTGCATTAGGACCAGAGTGCACTTGTCAGTGGACTTGTCAGAGCACACACACGCCTGCACGCACGAACACACACAAACACAGCCTCTAAAGGATAGACAGAGCAAAATAAATGTCAAGGGCTGACATTCCTTGTGGCTTTCTTTTATAACTAATTGATGTTTAATCAAAGCTGGATTCATTACGTTTCGATAAGGGGACACTAAACATGAATGGTATTGCTGCACTACAAAGAAACAGAATGTTCAAACAGAGCATTAACAGAACATTACGCTCAGAAATGCACTGTGTGTGTGTGTGTGTGTGTGTGTGTGTGTGTGTGTTCTGAGGGTCAAAGCAGAGGCCACCAAACACATTGTTCTGGCCCTCCTCCATGGAATTCTCAACCTAAGTGGTTCCTGCAGGACAGTGACCGAGTGTTCAAGCAGCAGATAAAGACACACACACAGACATGTTGTGGCTCTGTGCAAATGGAACAATGCAACAAGGGGTTGCATGAGGGGCCCTTTCAGGGACACACACACACTCACACACCTCAGTAATAGGGTTCTCCCATCTCTCACACACACTAGCAGATGGAGATGATTGGAAATTCAATTCTCTACCCTGAGGTTGAGGCTTTGGTCATTAGTACCAAATCCAAACATGTGTGTGTCTGTCTCTGTGTGTGTGTGTGAACATTAGCATGCTGGTCTTTATGTCTGCATGTGTGCTTGTCTGTCTTTGTTGAAGTGTATGAGTGGATTTATGGGGCGTGAGGACAGGAAGCAGATGCAGAGTCCAGCTGGGCTGGAAGGCAGCGTGACACAGATTGAGTTCAGACCAACACTACACAAAGCTGCCTGGACTAAATATTGTGTGTGTGTACAGTAAAGGGCCCCTCATGCACTCAGGTAGCTTGTTGCGTTGATTCATACCCTGTTGTGTACACAGATTCACTGTGTGTGTGTGTGTGTGTGTGTGTGTGTGTGTGTGAGGGGTAGATAATTATATGTTTCCTAGATTGCTGGTCTCTACTCCAGAACCTCCCACTTGATTGGTTTTCTCTGCACTGCAGAAGGAAGGTACAGACTAATCTGTCTATCTCTGGGGTGTAGCAAGCAAATGACCCCTTTACACGCACATATACACACACACACACATACACAAAGTCCCACTTGAATCTTCTCTCTCTCTGCTCTGAGTTTTTAATATAATAATTATAATAATGATTTCTATTTATATGGTGCTTTTCACCAGGCTCCAGTGCTTTGTAGGGTTGATGTTTCTCCTTTCATTTTCTCTCCATATCTCTCCTCTCCGTTCCCTGGTCTCTCCTCTCCTTGTCTCTGCTCTCCACGTCTCTCCTCGGCTCTCTACGTCTCTCCGCTCCACGTCTCTCCTCTCCTCGTCTCTGCTCTCTACGTCTCTGCTCGTCACTGCTCTCCACTTCTCTCCTCTTCTCTCCTTTCCATGTCTCTCCTCCCCTCCCCTCCCCTCTCCTCATCTCTCCTCCCCTCCCCTCTCCTCGTCTCTCCTCCCTTCTCGTTTCTCCTCTCCTCATTTCTCCTCCCCTTCCCTCCCCTCTCCTTATCTCTCCTTCCCTCCCCTCTCCTCTCCCCTCCTCTTCCTCTCCCTCTCCTCCCCCTCTCCGCTCCCCTCATCTCTCGCGTCCCCTCCCGCAATCCCCTGTCCTCCTCTCCCTTCCCCTCTCCTCGTCTCTCCTCCCCTCCCCCCTTCCTTTTCTCTCTCCCCGCCCCTCTTCCTTTCTCTCCTCCCCTCTCCTCATCTCTCCTCCCCTCCCCTCTCCTTCCCTCTCCTCCCCGCCCCTCTCCTCCATCTCTTCCTTCCCTCCCCTCCTCCTCATCTCTCCTTCCCTCCCCTCCTCTCCTCCCCTCCTCTCTCCCTCTCTCCTCCCCTCCCCTCCCCTCTCCTCGTCTCTCCTTCCCTCCTCTCCCCTCATTTCCCCTCCTCTTCTCTCCTCCATCACTCCACAGCTTCCCTTGTCACCAGTCCCTCTTTGTGCCTCTGTGGTATATCCAAGTAAATGGTGTGTACATGCACTTTCACATGGGTGTGTGTGTTGTGTGAGTGACTGCATATATATGTGTGTGTGTGTGCACGCATGCGTGAGTGCGTATCTGTGTCTGAATTCTCTGCCGTAGAAGGTGCATTGGGGCCACTGGTGCCTTTCCGAGCATCCGGACAGCACTGGCCTCTCTATAGAATGGTTAGAGTTAGCTGGTCATCGTGTGAGACCACTGCTGCCTAACCACATATAACCCTTAGAGAGTCTTGCATCTTGCTCATCTCAGTATCTGCGGTGCTGCTTGTGGCATTTTGCTGAGTCTACCTTTAACAAGTCCATCACCAGTTAGTGGCGCTGTGTTTTTCAGGTGTTAGCTTTGGGTGCTGTATTTGGTTTTCAACCTAGATTATTTTTGTTGCTTTGTCTGATGTGTGTCTGGTTTTATGTTCATTGTCTCTGTGTTGTCTGTAGGTTGTCTGAACGTTGTCTGTATGTTGTCTGAACGTTGTCTGTATGTTGTCTGAACGTTGTCTGTATATTGTCTCAACGTTGTCTGTACTTTGCCTGAACTTGTGTTGTGCAGACACCGGGCTGTGACCTGATCCTGGGCTCGGACCAGCAGGAGGATGCCTGTATGGTGTGTGGAGGACAGAACTCAACCTGTCTACACCACAGGAGTGTGTACCAGAATGCACAGGGAGCAGGTATAGACACACATGCATGCACGCACACATACACATACACACACATACACATACACATACACACACACACACAGACACCACACGCCACACAAACACACACACACACACCACACACACACAAACACAACCTCTGAAGCATAGACAGAGTAAACGAAATGGGCTGACATACACTGAATGTACAAAACATTAGGAACTTCCTCATTTTTAGTTGCACCCCCTTTGCCCTCAGAACAGCCTCAATTTGTCGGGGCATGGACTCTACAAGGTGTCAAAAGGTTCCACAGGGATGCTGGCCCATGTTGACTTCAATGCTTCCCACAGTTGTGTGAAGTTGGCTGTATGTCCTTTGGGTAGTGGACCATTGATTCACACGGGAAACAGTTGAGCGTGAAAAACCCAGCAGCGGTGCAGTTCTTGACACACTCAAACCGGTACACCTAGTACCATTCCCTTTTCAAAGGCACTTCAATCTTTTGTCTTGCCCATTCACCCGCTGAATGGCACACATACACAATCCATGTCTCAATTGTCTCAAGGCTTAAAAATCCTTCTTTAACCTGTCTCCTCCCCTTCATCTACACTGATTTGAAGTGGATTTAACAAGTGACATCAATAAGGGATCATAGAATTCACCTGGTCAGTCTAAGTCATGGAAGGAGCAGGTGTTTCTAATGTTTTGTACACTCAGTGTATATGTTTAGTCAAAGCTGGATTCATTAAGTTTCGATAAGGGAACGCTAATTAATGGTACTTGCTTCACTCAATGGAAATAGAATGTTCAAACAGAGCGTTAACAGAATATTTTACGCTAGGCCCATAAATGCACTGTGTGTGTGTTCTGAGGGTCAAAGCAGAGGCCACCAAACTCTATGTTCTGGCCCTCCGCCATGGAATTCTCAACCTAAGTGGTTCCTGCAGGACAGTGACCGAGTGTTCAAGCAGCAGTGAAACACGCACGCACGCACACACACACACGTGCACTCTGTCTCTATCAAAGGCAGACACAAACATACAGACACAAGAATACATCCTCCGCACACAGACACACACACACAGAGCAGCCAACACCTCTGCCGTGTGATTAAGGCACTGCTCTCCATTCTGAAACAGAATCCTCTCTTGAGCTGGCGCCGCGTGTGGGCATGGTGACTGAGGAGTGACTGTACTGCTTCATAATGGTTCAGCTTGAGTGAGGAGAAAACATGGAGAGAAAGAAGGCTTTGTTTGGGTGCCTGGGTAGCCTAGGAGGGCTTGCCTGGTTTTCTCTCCTCCTGCAGCTGTGTGTCCAAATGAGGCGTAACAGATTTGATGCCGCTGGGCACAATCATTGCTTCCCACAGGGTCAAAAGCCAAGGGCCCAGAGAACTCATCACGGTCAGGCTATATCTACATTTACATTGTAGTCATTTAGCAGATGCTCTTATCCAGAGCGACTTACAGTAGTGAGTGCATAAATTTTTCTTACTTTTTCTAACCCTATAAGATCTTCTTAAGGGTAGGCACGTCTGGTGTACAGGCATTTGTTCCAGCCCAGCACGAAAACACCTGATTCAAATAATCATCACGGTCAGGCTATAACTCTCTAACGTTAACCGGAGGTGGAACAGAACATTTTACAACTCCTCCTCACCCTAAGTCAAGGTTGATAACACAAACCCTACAGCTGAACTCTACAGGATAGGCACCTTTGTGGCTAAAATGTGTGAAGGTCTTTGTTTCAGCCTAGCACTAACACAAAAATACATCTAGATCAGTTTCCTAACTCTACAGCCCTGTACAGATCTAACAGCCGACCATAAGGAGAGCCAAAACTAGACCGTTTTATAATGTTGTGTTGTAGAACAGCTGACTGACTCCAGCTCTTCACACAACACTAGGCTGTGTTGCTTTGATGCAGGTTTGCACAAGTTGGATTTTTCCTACATTTGCTTTGCATTTGGCCATGCAACCACTGGAATTTGAATGAAAAGCTATTTCGTGGCATTTTTAACAGTACCTACTAACTCGAAAACAACAAGTATAGCCACACAATAATGTTAGCTTGCAGAGAAAACATGGTTTTGGTTTTTAGATGTTGCTAGATGTTTGTTTGAACGAGGAAGTCCTGAACACAGCTGAACTTAGTAAGGGTAGGCCCCTCCGCTGTCTGCAGGCCCAGCACTAACACACGAGATTCATTTTAAAAAATCAAACTCAGGTTCATAACTAAGTCTATTGCTGAACCATAGAGATAGATAGAGGGCTCTAGATGGACATAACCTGTTTTAGCATGAACATTGCCATTGAGTGCTTGCACCATTTTAAACTAGTCAATGATTAGAGCATTGTTTTCAAATTGGGTTGCATATGGTTAGTAAATGGCTTTAAAGCGGCAATCAGCAGTAGAAACAATAACAAAGCATTCTCCCTGCCCCTGGTTTCGGTAAAAAGCTGAGGGATGGGGCTGGAGAAATGTAACCACTCTCAAATTCATAGACAAAGCTACTGATGCAAGGACTGACCATCCATGATATCAACATTATAGCTTTAACCATGTTGTGAGGCCAAATAGTGTTTGTTTACATTTTCTTTGTTGGAGTAAAACAAGCTTATATTTTGGGTTCCGATGGGGTACAGCAGTTGAAGTAAGTTCATGAGGCATTTATAAGTTATATTCTTCAAGAATCAATGGGTACATATCATTAATTTATAAATCCAAAAATTGATGTAGCAACCGCTGATTGCCCCTGTAAGCTATATCTCCGCCATCTAGTGGCCAGAATATATGAATTGCACACAATATTTGGTTCAGGACTCCAGTATGGTGGCGGTAAATCACCAATATTAGCTTTACGCTTTCTTCAAACACAAAATAATAAGAAAATGGACAACTTTAAAATAGCACATTAACTCTGCGCATAGCTTTTAATCTCAGATACCTACAATTGTCAAAACAAGAGCAACGGGATCTCAGTCCCATAGAAAAAAACAGGATGAATAGGGTTGCTGCTTGCCTTTCACCCACCAGCAGCAGGGGGACCATAGAGATGTTGCCTGCTTTTGGCCCACTAGTGAAATATCACTCTCTAAATGAATGGTTCATGCTTTTGGCTCGACGGTGAAATATCCCTCTTTGGTTTTAAATGTTAACCATTAGTAAACTGTCTGTAAATCATTATATAATCCTAATTTAGTCGTTATCATTAATATTAGTAAATGGATATGTATGTATTAACTATTTGCTATGAGAATATATTATTCAGGAAAGAAATCCATATGTATTTACTTTAATAAAGTTTTAGAAGTGTTACACGTATAAGCATATATAGTATATATTCACATACAGTGGGGAAAAAAAGTATTTAGTCAGCCACCAATTGTGCATGTTCTCCCACTTCAAAAGATGAGAGAGGCCTTTAATTTTCATCATAGGTACACGTCAACTATGACAGACAAAATGAGAAAAAAAAATCCAGAAAATCACATTGTAGGATTTTTAATGAATTTATTTTTAAATTATGGTGGAAAATAAGTATTTGGTCAATAACTGGATTTTTGGATTTTTTTTTCTCAATGTGTCTGTCATAGTTGACGTGTACCTATGATGAAAATTACAGGCCTCTCATCTTTTTAAGTGGGAGAACTTGCACAATTGGTGGCTGACTAAATACTTTTTTTCCCCACTGTATATATTGCATATATCACATGCTGCACCACATATGTTGTTTATATACATCATTAGTGTTACCCAGACTCTAAATGAATGGTTTATGCTTGTCTCCCACTGGTGTAATATCTGTCTTAATGAATGTCTCTGTACTCTGTTGGCTATAGCGGGTCCGTTTGGGTACAATGAAGTGACCATGATCCCAGCTGGAGCTACTCACATCCGCGTCACCGATAACAGCAGGAACTATCTGGGTAAGAGATGGCTCAGCTTGACACACACACACACACACACACACACTGGGAATGAACTGTCACACAAGGACAGCGTCAATGTTCTGTAGTATCACTAACTATATACAGTACATATACAGACAGCTGGTTTTGACCGATAATTTGCTTTGAGAGATTATCCTTTTTATCATGTTCTGTATGTCTGCTATGAGTTTCAACCCACCCACCCATGGCTATAGAACTCCACCGCTACCCTGACACATTAAATATCTGGTCATAATACTGCTCCCCTCTCATTCCTGTTAGCTTACTGCCACTTCCTGGCACCAGAGACCGATACAGCTCTCTGGTTGATAGCCAGTTGCACTCTGGGTGGGCTCTCCAGTCAACACAACACCCAAGGCTATCCATCTATTCTCACCCACATTTACAAGACCGAAATAACGTGACTCCTGAAATGGAAAATGCAGGGATCCTGAAATGAAACACTCGTAAAGGTTTAATTTGGCCATGGGGCAGGGTGGGGGAACTGGGTGCGGGAAGAGGGTGGGAGGAACTGGGGATCTGGCCTCCTGGCGGGCAGGTGGAAGTACTTGGTTAGTTCTGATTTGGTTGGAAGATTTCCACCAAAAAAATAAACTTCCAAGAGATGGTTTCCCTATTTGTTGTCTGTTCCTGCAACCTATTACTTTGCTGAATTAAGAAATCTTTATGTAAAATGCAGGGTTGGGGTTTATTCCATTTCAATTTAGTAAAGTGGTCCCGTGGTCCCATGTGCTCAGTTGGTAGAGCATGGCACTTGCAACGCCAGGGTTGTGAAAATGAAAATGTATGCACACTACTGTAAGTCACTTTGGATAAAAGCGTCTGCTAAATGACTAAAATGTTAAATGTAATTAAGGAAGTAAACACATTTTCCTCAATTGCGATTTCTGTTTACTTCCTGAATTGACTGAAAAGGAAATGACCCCAACCCTAGCATAATTCAATCAAACACTGTATACATATTATCGTCACAAAGCCAATTTCAGTCTCACTTCACCAATCAGCATTGAAAATCAGAAACATTCCCATCTACCTTCATTCAATCCCTTCTCTTCCCCCTCCAGCGCTCCAGAACGGGCGTTCCCAGTTTGTCATTAATGGAAACTGGAAGATCAGTGTTCCTGGGGAGTACAGCGTAGCGGGAACCAAGCTCCTGTACAAGCGCTCTGCGGACACCTGGGAAAGCTTTGAGGTCCCTGGACCCACTATGGAGGACCTACACGTCATGGTCAGTCTGGTCAAAGTTATAGGGGATAGGAGCTGCAATGCAATAACTATACTGAACAAAAATATAAACGCAACATGCAACAATTTCATTGATTTTACTGAGTTACAGTTCATATGAGGAAATCAGTCAATTGAAATAAATTCATTAGGCCCTAATCTATGGATTTCACATGACTGGGAATACAGATATGCATCTGTTGGTCACAGATACCTTTAAAACAAATGGGCCTCATAATGGGCCTCAGGATCTCGTTACGGTATTTTTATGCATTCAAATTGCCATCGATAAAATGCTATTGTGTTCTGTAGCTTATGCCTGTCCAAAAACCATAACCCCACCGCCACCATGGGGCAGTCAGTTCACAATGTTGACATCAGCCAACCGCTCACCCAAACGACGCCATACACGTGGTCTGCGATTGTGAGGCCGGTTGGACGTACTGCCAAATTCTCTAAAACGACGTTGGATGTGGCTTATGGTAGAGAAATAAACATTAAATTATCTGGCAACAGCTCTGGTGGGCATTCGTGCAGTCAACATGCCAATTGCACGCTCCCTCAAAACTTCAGACATCTGTGGCATTGTGTTGTGTGACAAAACTGCACATTTTAGAGTGGCCTTTTATTGTTCCCAGCACAAGGTGAACCTGTGTAATGATCATGCTTTAATCATCTTATTGATATGCCACACCTGTCAGGTTGATGGATTATCTTGGCAAAGGATAAATGCTCACTAACAGGGATGTAAACAAATTTGTGCACAACATTTTAGAGAAAAGCTTTTTGTGCGTATGGAAAATGTCAGGGATTTTTTTTTTCAGCTCATGAAACATGTGACCAACACTTTACATGTTGCCTTTACTGTATATTTTTGTTCAGCGTATATAGAGACGGCAAACTAACCTCACAAATTAAGGTACGCAATGATAGCTTTGTTAGTATACTTGTTCAACCCCAATTTAGCAGAACCATTCAGTCTTCTCTCCTATATGTAACTGACGTATATTTTCAAAATGTATTGTCATCCATATGTTATATTTTTGTCAGGATATTGTTGGTATATTGACAATTATAAACTGGGTGGTTCGAGCCCTGATACTGATTGGCTGACAGCCGTGGTATATCAGACCGTATACCACGGGTATGACAAAACATTTCTTTTTTTACTGCTCTAATTACGCTGGTAACCAGTTTATAATAGCAATAAGGCACCTGGGGGGTTTGTGGTATATGGCCAATATACCACAGCTATGGGCTGTATCCAGGCACTCTGTGTTGCGTCGTGCATAAGAACAGCCATATACCACAAACCCCCCAGGTGCATATTGGCCATATACCACACCCATTTGGCCTTATTGCTTAAATATACCAGGTATTATAAAACAATATATTTCAAAATATATTAAAATATATATCCGTTGTACACTGTGTGGTTATGTGTCTGCAGGTGTTGGCAACAGACAGGAACCCGGGGATAGAATACGAGTATTGGCTCCCTCCAGACAGCTACGCCCTGTACCATGGCAGGAGGAGTCAGCTACGCCAGCCTCACCACACTGCTAGCTACATCCCCTGGGACCAGCCCACCACCACTACTACTACTACTACCACAACCACCACTACTACTACTAGGCCTCTCTCTGTCACCACAAGACCCTACTGGGGTAAGACCGCTGACCATTGTTAAAGGGGTAGTTCACCCAAATTAACATGTTGTTTCCTTACCTTGTAAGAAGTGTAAGGACAAAATGCAATCCAGGTTTTGGGTTTGTTTACCTAGCCGCTGTCACCAACCGCTAACTTAGCTAGCTAGCATTTTCTAAGCAAAAGCCAAATGGATGTCAATGTACTTAATATTAACATGTGTTAAATTTAATGTCCAAAATGTCAATTTAATTTGATGTACGTAGTTACATGGGTAAGACCTGCCCCTGGTTTCATTCATCCTCTGTTTGTGTAACTAAAGTTCAATACATGATAGATAGATATGGAAGATAGATGGATCTAAACATTATTGCAAGAGATAAAAACAAAATCCGCACATTACGACAAGCTCTACAACGTAAAAATCTTTTTGTTTTTAAATTAAAAAAACTTTTTTAATATTTTCAGATCTGACTGCCTCCGGTACTGCAGAGGTACTGCCAGATCTCAAAATATTCAAATAGGTTTTTTTACATTTCATTTTTTTAAATGAATATTATTAACAACAACAGAGGTAACACATTTTGGCCAAGGGATCCTTGGAATAAGTTTAGAGGGTGTTATACAATACAATGTAATCTACCATTTATGTTCATAATCCTGGGCAACATGGGACTGGGAGGCTTACAGGGACCCCAGTTTGAAAACCCCTGGCCTACAAAATGCCTCAGACTGTGCCTTGCTAATGTGCAGCAAATGTCTTCCGGAATGTTTTATTACATCCGTTTATATAACTGAGGGAAATGATTAACTGCAAACTCAATCATAGGTTTATAATCAGTGTTGTATTACTATTAAATTGGCCCTGGTTGGAATGTAACCAACATTCAATAGAAATCATTATATTTGTCCTATATAACTGCAAAAGTGGACTTTGATCCAAAACTGAATACAATGTGCTGACCTGCTATACTTTGATCTGCACTTGGCTGACAATAACAGATAAAGCCAAGGAATGAAGTTTCTGGAGTGGAATGTCCCTCTCTTATCTTAGAAGTGTTTAGTGATAACACTCCTAATCCCAAAACCCACTGCATATTCCATGCTGAGATAGTGGTGCTTGGTACAGTACCATAGTTTTGACTGATTTCTGTGTAGTGCTCAACAAAGCAATGATCTAAGTCTTTAGCATTCTTTAGAATTTAGTCAAACAGGTTTGATCATTTAGTAATTACTCAAGTGATTTGGTGCAGGACATAATGGGAGTAGCCTAGCCCCTAGCATAGTGTTTTCTAACTGACGGGTTGAGAAGTAGCCTAGCCCCTAGCATAGTGTTTCCCAACTGGCGGGTTGAGAAGTAGCCTAGCCCCTAGCATAGTGTTTTCTAACTGGCGGGTTGAGAAGTAGCCTAGCCCCTAGCATAGTGTTTTCTAACTGACGGGTTGAGAAGTAGCCTAGCCCCTAGCATAGTGTTTCCCAACTGGCGGGTTGAGAAGTAGCCTAGCCCCTAGCATAGTGTTTTCTAACTGGCGGGTTGAGAAGTAGCCTAGCCCCTAGCATAGTGTTTTCTAACTGGCGGGTTGAGAAGTAGCCTAGCCCCTAGCATAGTGTTTTCTAACTGGTGGGTTGAGAAGTAGTCTAGTCCCTAGCATAATGTTTCCCAACTGACGGGTTGAGAAGTAGCCTAGTCCCTAGCATAGTGTTTTCTAACTGACGGGTTGAGACCCAACTGGTGGGTTTAGATCCACTAAAGGGTCACGCAGTCAGTTCCTCTTGGGTCGTGGCTAAAGACTGGGTTTGGTCCAGAAACATGGTCTTGTTTACCTTGTGGGTCACAGGGAGCATTGAAAGCCTTTGGGGGAGTCAAGATGAACAAAAGCGATTTGCTTTTTAGCGTTAGCGTTTTGGAGCAGAAATCAATGATCTAAGACAATGTTTGCTCATGTCGTATCCTAGTGATTTGATGCTGGACAGAAAGTCAGTCTTTAGTGATTCTGCCTAAAGAATGTCTTGGAAAGATCCTTTGGCCGAATCCTGATTCAAGATACACATGTGCTTCTCCATCGTTTGCACAAATCTGAAATCTCACATTAATGGGTGATTAATGCAAAACTTAAAGGGATAGTTCAGAAATTGTACATATTTAGATATTTCTTTCCTCATCTCAAAATTATTTGGGCATGACATTTTAAACATGCTTAACTGGGGAGATTGATCTACATGGTGCTTTGGTTAAAAATGTAACATTTTGTTGGCAGTGGCTAGTTTAACAAAACCCAAATGTGGATTTCAGTCACTCCTTGTCCATAGACTGCTTCTAAGGTAAGAAAACAAATATCTAATAAATATGTAAAATCGCTGAACCATCCCTTAAAGTTACGTTCAAGTTTATGTCTTGGACCAAGGTCATTTTCTTGGTCAGGTCATGACAAACTCCTGGCCCCAACTTTGTCCAAAGGCATGTTGATACTCAGTAATGTAACTTACCTTTTCCCGCACTGTCCCTCAGCTCCTCCAGGTGGCTGGCCCGTCAAGTCCCCTCGCCATCCAGCTCGCCAACCCCCTCACCAGCCCCAGCCCCACCGCCCACCTGTCCTTCCCCGCCTGGAGAGGGACGAGACCAGGGGGAACCGACTACCCCAACCCCCCCGAGGAGGTTTGCTCCACCTCACCCCAATCTCTCCCTCACCTCACCTCACCTAATCATCAACCCCTATCTCACCCCCACTCCCCCAAACCCCAACTCTACCCTTACTCAAATGCTACAATCCTCTCTGCCTCCCCCCAGTCTCACCCCAGTCCCCCCAAAGGCCTACAACGCGACGCGGACCGAAACGACACCGACGCGCGGCCGCGACCGACCGCAGACGCGGACGCGCGACGCAGCGGCCCGGGAAGCGACCGACGCGCGACGGACGCGCCGGAAGCGAGCACGCGCGACGCGACCGCCCGGGAAGTCGAGCCGACGCGCGACGCGACGCGGCCGGAAGCGTAGCAGAGCGCGACGCGACGCGGCCGGGAAAGCAGCTAGCGCGCGACGACGCGCGGGAAGCGAGCGACGCGCGACGGACGCGGCCCGGGAAGGAGCCGACGCGCGACGGGCCGGGAAGCGAGCCGACGCGCGACGCGACGCGGCCCGGAAGCGAGCCGACGCGCGACGGAGCGGCCGGGAAGCGAGCCGAACGCGCGACGCGACGCGGCCGGGAAGCGAGCGACGCGCGACGCGACGGGCCGGGAAGGACCGATCGCGCGACGCACGGCCGGAAGCGAGCCGAGCGCGACGCGACGCGGCCCGGGAAGCGAGCCGACGCGCGACGCGAGCGCCGGGAAGCTGAGCCGACGCAGACGCGCACCCGGGAAGCATCCACCGCACGCGGCCCGGAAGCGAGCCGACGCGCGACGCGACGCGGCCGGAAGCGAGCGCGACGCGCGACGGAACGGCCCGGGAGCAGACACGACGCGCGACGCGACGCGGCCCGGAAGCGAGCCGACGCGCGACGCGACGCGGCCCGGAAGCGAGCCGACGCGCGACGGACGCGGCCCTGGACAGCGAGCCACGCGCGACGCGACGCGGCCCGGGAAGCGAGCCGACGCGCGACGCGACGCGGCCCGGGAAGCGAGCCGACGCGCGACGCGACGCGGCCGGGAAGCGAGCCGACGCGCGACGGACGCGGCCCGGGAAGCGAGCGACGCGCGACGCGACGCGGCCCGGAAGCGAGCCGACGCGCGACGCGACGCGGCCCGGGAAGCGAGCCGACGCGCGACGCGACGCGGCCGGGAAGCGAGTCCGACGCGCGACGCGGCCCGGGAAGCGAGCCGACGCGCGACGCGACGGGCCCGGGAAGCGAGCCGACGCGCGACGCGACGCGGCCCGGGAAGCGAGCCGACGCGCGACGCGAGGGCCCGGGAAGGAGCCGACGCGCGACGCGGCCGGGAAGCGAGCACGGACGCGCGACGCGACGCGGCGCGCCGGGAAGCGAGCCGACGCGCGACGCAGGCCGGGAAGCGAGCCGACGCGCGACCGACGCGGCCGGGAAGCGAGCCGACGCGCGACGCGACGCGGCCCGGGAAGCGAGCCGACGCGCGACGCGACGCGGCCCGGAAGCGAGCCGACGCGGACGCGACGCGGCCCGGGAAGCGAGCCGACGCGCGACGCGACGCGGCCCGAAGCGAGCGACGCGCGACGCGCGACGCGGCCCGTGAAGCGAGCCGAGCGCGACGCGACGCGGCCCGGGAAGCGAGCCGACGCGCGACGCGACGCGGCCGGGAAGCGAGCCGACGCGCGACGCGACGCGGCCGGGAAGCGAGCCGACGCGCGACGCGACGGGCCCGGAAGCGAGCCGACGCGCGACGCGACGCGGCCCGGGAACGAGCCGACGCGCGACGCGACGCGGCACGGGAAGCGAGCCGACGCGCGACGCGACGCGGCCGGGAAGCGAGCCGACGCGCGACGCGAGCCCGGGGAGCGAGCCGACGCGCGAGCGACGAGGCCCGGGGAGCGAGCCGACGCGCGACGCGACGCGGCCCGGGAAGCGAGCCGAGACGCGACGCGACGGGCCCGGGAAGCGAGCCGACGCGCGACGCGACGCGGCCCGGGAAGCGAGCCGACGCGCGACGCGGCCCCGGGAAGAGCCGACGCGCGAGCGACGAGGCCCGGGAGTGGAGCCGACGCGCGACGCGACGCGGCCGGGAAGCGACCCGACGCGCGAGCGACGCGGCCCGGGAAGCGAGCGACGCGCGACGCGACGCGGCCCGGGAAAGCCGAGCCGACGCGGCACGGGAAGGAGCCGACGCGCGAGCCGAACGAGCCGACCCGACGAAGCGGCCGAAAGCGCGCGACGGACGCGGCCGGGAAGCGAGCCGACGCGCGACGCACGCGGCCCGGGAAGCGAGCCGACCGCGAACGCGACCGGGCCCGGAATCGACGCCGAACGCGACTACGCGGCCGGGAAGCGAGCGACGCGGACGCGAGCGGCCCGGGAAGCGAGCCGACGGCGACGCGACGGGCCTCGGAAGCGAGCCGACGCGCGACGCGACGCGCCCTGGGAAGCGAGCGACGCGCGACGCGGCCAGGAAGCGAGCCGACGCGGACGCGAGCGGCCCGGGAAGCGAGCCGACGCGCGACGCGACGCCCGGAAGATGAGCCGACGCGCGACGCGAGCGCGGCCCGTGAAGCGAGCCACGCGCGACGCGACGCGCCCGGGAAGCAGCCGACGCGCGACGCGACGGGCCCGGGAACGAGCCGACCGCGACGCGACGCGTCCGGAGAAGGCGAGCCGAGGGCGCGACGCGGACCGGGAAGACGAGCCGACGCGGAGCGACGCGCCTCGGGAAGCGAGCCGACGCGCAGATCGCAGCCCCTGGAAGTAGCCGACGCGCGACGCGACGCGGCCGGGAAGCGAGCCGACGCGCGACGCGCGCGGCCCGGGAAGCTAGCAGACTGCGCGACGCTACGCGGCCCCGGAAGCAGACGACGCGCGACCGACCGGCACGGAAGGAGCCGATCGCGCACGCGACGCGTGCCGGGAAGCGAGCCGACGCGCGACGCGAACAGCCCGCGGAGCGAGCCGACTGCGCGCCCCGCGACGCGCCCGGGAAGCAGCCGACGCGCGACTCGACGCGCCCGGGCAGCGAGCCGACGCGCGACGACGAGGCCGGGAGCGAGCCGACGCGCGACGCGACCCGGCCCGGAACGAGCCGACGCGCGACGCGACGCCCGGGAAGAGAGCCACACGACGACGCGACGCTCCCGGAAGCGAGCGACGCGCGACGCGTCCTGAAGCAGCCGACGCGCACGCCCCGGACCGACGCGACGTACGCGGCCCGGAATCGAGCCGACGCGCGACGCGACGGCCCGGTGAAGCGAGCCGACGCGCGACGCGGCCCCGGAAGGGCCGACGCGGGAGCGACGCGGCCGGAAGCGAGCCGACGCGCGACGCGACGCGGCCCGGGAAGCGAGCCGACGCGCGACGCGACGCGCCCGGGAAGCGAGCCGACGCGCGACGCGACGGGCCCGGGAAGGAGCCGACGCGCGACGCGCGCGGCCGGAAGCGAGCCGACGCGCGACGCGACGCGGCCCGGGAAGCGAGCCGACGCGCGACGCGCCCGGAGAGAGCGACGCGCGACGCGACGCGGCCGGGAGCGAGCGACGCGCGACGCGACGCGGCCCGGGAAGCGAGCCGACGCGCGACGCGACGCGGCCCGGGAAGCGAGCCGACGCGCGACGCGACGCGGCCCGGGAAGCGAGCCGACGCGAGCGACGCGGCCCGGGGAAGCGAGCCGACGCGCGACGCGACGCGGCCCGGGAAGCGAGCCGACGCGCGACGCGACGCGCCGGGAAGCGAGCCGACGCGCGAGCGACGCGGCCCGGGAAGCGAGCCGACGCGGACGCGACGCGGCCGGGAAGCGAGCCGACGCGCGACGCGACGCGGCCCGGGAAGCGAGCCGACGCGCGACGACGCGGCCCGGGAAGCGAGCCGACGCGCGACGCGACGCGGGCCCGGGAAGCGAGCGACGAGCGCGACGCGCCCGGGAAGCGAGCCGGACGCGCGACGCGACGGGCCGGGAAGCGAGCCGACGCGCGACGCGACGCGGCCCGGGAAGCGAGCCGACGCGCGACGCGACGCGGCCCGGGAAGCGAGCCGACGCGCGACGCGACGCGGCCCGGGAAGCGAGCCGACGCGGACGGACGGGCCCGGGAAGCAGAGCCGAGCGAGCGACGCGGGCCCGGGAAGCAGCGACGCGCGACAGACGGCCCGGGTAAGACGAGCCGACGCGCGACGAGACAGGCACCGGAAGCGAGCCGACGCTGCAGACGACGACTGGCTACGGGAGCGAGCCTACGCGCGACGAGACGGCCCGGGAAGCAACCAGTACGCGGACAAGTCACGCGCCAAGCACGACGCGGACGACCGGCCGGAAGAGAGCCGACCGCGACGCGACGCGGCCCGGGAAGCGAGCCGACGCGTACGCGACCGCCGGGAAGCGAGCCACGAACGCACCACGCGGCCCGGAAGCGAGCCGACGCGCGACGCAGCGACCGGGAAGCAGCGAGCGCACGACGCGGCCGGAAGCGAGGCGACGCGGAGCGAGCCGGCCCGGAATGAGCCGAGCGCGACGGACGCGCCCGGGAAGCGAGCCGACGCGCGACGCGCCGACGCGGCCGGGAAGCGAGCCTAGACGGCACGCGACGGCCCGGAAGCGAGCCGACGCGCGACGCGACGCGGCCCGGGAAGCGAGCCGACGCGCGACGCGACGCGGCCCGTGGAAGCGAGGCCGACGCAGCACGCGACGCGGCCCGGGAAGCGAGCCGACGCGCGACGCGACGCGGCCGGAAGTCGGCCGACGCGCGACGACGGACGACGAGCCGACGCGGAAGCGAGGCCGGAACGAGCACGCGACGGCGCCGGCCGTAAGCGAGCCGACGCGCGACGGACGCGCCCGGGAAGCGAGCCGACGCGCGACGCGACGCGGCCCGGAAGCGAGCCGACGCGCGACGCGACGCGGCCCGGGAAGCGAGCCGACGCGCGACGCGACGCGGCCCGGAAGCGAGCCGACGCGCGACGGACGCCGGCCGGGAAAGCGAGCCGACGCGCGAGCGACGCGGCCACGGAAGCAGGCCGACGCGCGACGCGACGCGGCACGGAAGCGAGCCGACGCGAGCGACGCGGCCCGGGAAGCGAGCCGACGCGCGACGCGGCCCGGGAAGCGAGCCGACGCGCGACGCGACGCGGCCCGGGAAGCGAGCGACGCGCGACGCGAGCGGCCCGGGAAGCGAGCCGACGCGCGACGACGGGCCAGGGAAGCGAGCCGACCGCGAGCGACGCGCCGGGAACGAGCCGACGCGCGACGCGACGCGGCCCGGGAAGCGACCGAAGCGCGACGACGGCCCGGGAAGGAGCCGACGACGCGGACGCACGCGGCCCGGGAAGCGAGCCGACGCGCGACGCTACGCGTCCCGTGAAGCTAGCCGACTCCTCTACTCTACTCTTCCCTTTAATCTATCCTACTCTCTACTCTACTCTTCCCTTTAATCTATCCTACTCTCTACTCTACTCTTCCCTTTAATCTATCCTACTCTCTACTCTACTCTTCCCTTTAATCTATCCTACTCTCTACTCTACTATCTTCAATTCCCCTACTCACTCTCAGAAACTTATCTGTGCCATCCTAAACATAGTTTTTTAAAATCAGGGTATTACACAATCTGTGCTGAAATCAACTCACTGCTGCTCTTTCTACTCCCTTAGGGCATTGTGGGAAATGTAGGCGGGCTCGGGGTCGAGGGGAGCGCCAGAGGCAGTACTGCCAGAAAGACTTCGGTAAGTCTGAACTTCTTGAATACCTGGAGTTAGAGGTTCAAACACCCTTGTGTGCTTTATGAACACAATACCTTTCGATTCACATGACCCAATTTGCAGCTGGTTTGGGTTTACAACATTAGGGGTTAATCAAATCAAATCAAATCAAATCAAATCAAATTTTATTGGTCACATGCGCCGAATACAACAGGTGCAGACATTACAGTGAAATGCTTACTTACAGCCCTTAACCAACAGTGCATTTATTTTAAACAAAAAAAGTAAGAATAAAACAACAACAAAAAAAGTGTTGAGAAAAAAAGAGCAGAAGTAAAAATAAAGTGACAGTAGGGAGGCTATATATACAATAGAATAAAGTGACAGTAGTTAGTGGCAGTAGTTAGTGACAGTAGTTAGTTAGTGGTTAGTGGTGTAAATTGACAAATCTCACTTTAATTGTAAAAAAAAAAAATGTAATTCTGTAAAACTGAAAACCAGCCATTTGAAGTCACAAAATCACAGTATGGAAAAACAAGCATGGCACAACAAGTCTTATTATAAAACATTGTAAAGGCTCATACATGCTTGTAAGTTATAAGTTCTAATAAATTATACCTGTTGGCTTTAAGTGTTACCGTAATGTCTTTCATCGGTTGTCAGTGTTCCGTGCCAAGGTCATGAGCAAGCTGTACCGGGGCGAGGAGACGCGCTACGATGTCCAGATCATCCACACCTACCGCAATCGGTTCCGCCTGGAGCACCGCGAGTTCCTGTGGGTGCCTAACGTGTGTGACTGCCCCCCTCTGGAGGAAGGGCGCCAGTACGTTCTGATGGTGCGCCGCCACATTAACTACGAGCAGACGTTGAACCGGATACTGATGGAGGAGGACAGCTACGCTATACCCTATAAACCCAGAGAGGACACTCTGTTGCGCCCCCTGGAGGATCTGTGTAGTAACAGAGGGCCCAGGCCACCTGCGGAACTGAGGGGCGGCTATGCCTAGAGACAGACATGTACAGTATATACCTGCACACCAGACACCACTGATGCACACATACACTTTCACTGTCACGACTCCTTAACACTCCTCAAGACTGGGCACTTCTGATGGCGAATCAGACAAACAACAGGGCTGCATGTGTGTGTGAGACATTAAAACCCCATACACCCCACGCAACAACTGCTCCCTCTGACCCTTCAAAAGACACACAGAGAGCAACAGAACCACTAGAATTCCAAAATGGGGGAACTGAAAATGGCAGAAGCAAACACTAGTTGAACCCTTGGAAGATACTCAGAGTGACCCAGTAGATCTGTCAGTCACCACGATAAGAAAGCAAATCCCTCTCAAAGAGCAATGCAAAAGCTGACCAGCTCACAAAGTATAGCACTTTAGGTGGATGTTATCACCCACCTTTAAATTTCAGATACCAAAGAGAAGAATATATCCACTTCAATGGCCAAGCGTTTGTGTTTTGTTTTGTACCCTTTGCTAACCAGATAACTGACTATAACTATCTGTCTGGGTTACTAACAGGCAGTGTTGGGGAAGCTACTCTAAAAATATAGTTTACAGCTTGTATCAATTACTTCACCCTGGAAGAGGTTAAGCTACACTTAGGCCTAGATTAAATCAGATCAAGCGTTAACCGGCGATAGCCGACACCTGCATAGCTGATGGTTTGACGGTGCCGGAGATGTAACTGCGTTGGAGCTGTCAAATCGGTGAATAGATGCTCTTAATCATTGTCACTCGCGTTAGATGTTCAGAACGACAAAGTGTAGGCTATATAGAAATAATGACGCTCAAATTGAAAATCAGTAGCCTAAATGAATTAATGAGGATTTTTATCAGCCTAATCGAGATGTAGATTACATCTCACATTCCAGTGTTTCAAACTTGTAAACAAGGCTGCATGAGATTTCTCTTAATGCAACTCCGTGCAGCCAATGGCAATGTCCGCTTTAGGTATAATGCCACGAGCTGCTTGTGTATTTGACAGCTCTAATGCAGTTCCACCTCCAACACTGCCTAAACAACTGCTATGCAGATGTCGGCTAAAGCGGATCTGATTGAATAGAACCATTAAGCTACCCTTAAGAAACATATAGTTTACTTTAATAGTTACTTTGAAAACTACCTCGTGAAAAACGATCATATCTAAATCTGAAATGTCATAGACTACAAAGTTTTAAAAAATGACTGCAAGAACACATCACTCTGGAGTCAGATGTTAACAGTGTAGTGAGATCTGTGTGACAGCCAGAGTGAGTGCTTCGGCTTAGCCCAGTGAGATCTGTGTGACAGCCAGAGTGAGTGCTTCGGCTTAGCCCAGTGAGATCTGTGTGACAGCCAGAGTGAGTGCTTCGGCTTGGCCCAGCGGCCAGGGAGAGAGAGAAAAAAATAGGGGGTAGTTATTTACCAAAAATGTTTGTTGTTGAATAAATGTAGTGGGTAGTTCCAGTAGATAGCTACACCACTACATGGCAAAAAAAATAAAAATAATTAACTACCAAAGACACTACAAAGATTTGAATGTAGTTAAGCTACCACCAAGCTACTGCAAAAATGTAGGTAAATTACTATCTGAATTACATGTAGTGGAACTACTCCCCAACACTGCTAGCAGTTCAGTCACTCTTTGTCAAAATAAATATGTGCCTTTTCCTTTTTTTCTCATACCTAAGATGTATAAAACAACATATTGTTCCATATTGTATTTATGTGGCAAAAGAATAGCTAGATCATAACATTTATATTTGTGTTTTGCTTCTAAAATATAATATTTTTAAAAATAATCTATCAATGCATTTCTCTCTCTTGATGTACAGTATGTGTTTTGGGTAACAATTTACATTCATTTGCTCTTATACCTGTGTAGTAACACTGTCATGAATTACACTAGTAACATTGTATTTACATGTTATAATATAGTACTTCATTAATTGCATTGTAATTGCATAGTGATGAGGTGGAGTTTATTCCACTTGTATAGTAACAGAAACCGCTCAACTCTACTACTGTTACTATGCAATTAAAACTACACCGATATAAGAGCATGTTAATGTGTTACTGTGTTTTGAATATAAAAAAAATCAGGTTCCCTTAGTCTGTTTTGTTATGTCTCCTGTTGTCTTATTCACATGAATATTTAGTTTTGTGAGAAAGTAAAAATATGGATTATACAGTATTGTATATTGGTGTGGCACTGAGTAGCTACAAATATAAGAAACATATTTAATTTGAATGACTGGTGAATTATTTGCAATCTATTCCGATACATTAACTATGCTGTAACAAGTTATTTTTTTATTATAAGGTTTAAAACATGTGCCAACACATTGCTGTCTTTAACACCACCGATACCACATTTTACAAGGCCAGATGGGCCTGTGCTCATATGCATTTTTGTATAGGTAGATTACCCGTTAAATTTAGAAAGTTACTGACAGCAATTTTTTGTGGGGCTTGTGAAGCAAGAGTTTTTGTTATACTTCTTATTATTTGGAATGCTACTCCTCTTACACTGTTTAAACTAGAAACGTCATTCAAACTTTCAAATGTGCAGAATGCTTGCATACAACTTTTTGATATCTTTTATACTTTTTAAACTATTAAGCTTTTTGTCCTTTTTTCCCCCATCTTCATTCACTTTCATGGGATTTCTAAAGGTCCCGTTGTGACAATGTCAACTCCCAGACTTCCAACATTCAATTCACTGTGAACAATGCAACTTTTGACACAAATCAACTACTTTGACCAGTTTCTCAACAAGTTAGACAAAAAGTTGGGCGTTTGATATCTTCCTCTACTTCTCTGCTATTCAAATCGGAAATCAGAAACAAAAATATCTGCTACCAATCTAACGATACATCTGTTTTAGTAACTGCATAAACCAACTTTTTCCAAACAACAGACATTTTGACAACTTTCGCAGCACTTTAGACAACAACTTAGACGTAATGACATCTTGGTCTACTTATCTGCTATTCAAATCTGGAATCAGAACAGAAGTATCTACTACCAATCAAAGGTTACAGCTTTTTGAGTTGAGTGATGAAAATTAGCTAGCTAACTTCAGCTAACAGCTCTCTCATGTCTCGTCATTAAGCTGTTGCTATGGATATTCACACTCGCAAGGAAAATGAAGAGGGTGAAAAGGGTGATTGAATTTAGAACAATAGTGTAAGGATGATGAAGAATTGTGAACAACAAGAAAGCAGCTACTGCTCCAGAGGAGGCAGCCAAGGCAACAGCGTGTCATCCTCCTTCTCAGCACCGTGCTGTAAATACCTCAACTGGCTAGTTGCCTGTCTGTAAAGAGAAGGGAGGGCTGTACGTTGATCCTGCTACTCTGATTGGATAGAGTGAAGCTGTCTCTGTTCACTCGCTTCATATTTCACCCGATCACTTCCCATCGCATGTTTCGGTCTGATCATTTAGACTGCTGCTGCCTCCTGTTAGCCTGCTACTATGATACAGTAAATCAATAGGAGAGGAGGATTGCTAGCAAGCTATCAATGTGCACAATATCTAACAAGCGAAGTGAGAGGAGGGAAAGGAGAAGGAACACTGACCCACATTCTGACTTTACATTTTTTGCATGTGAAAACTTCTTTCGGTTTTCACATGCAACAACTGTAGTTTAGACATTTTAATTTGAATGAGAGTTGTGTAGCCTATTCGGTTCAGTCAGTCAGCATTAGTAATTCGTATTTTCCTGCAACTTTCTGAAACGGAACAGGAATACCCGTGTGTGTGTGTGCGCGTGTGCGTGCGTATGTACAGTACCAGTCAAAAGTTTGGACGCACCTACTCATTCCAAGGTTTTTCTTTATTTTTACTATTTTCTACATTGTAGATTAATAGTGAAGACAACAAAACTATAGTGTATTCAGAAGATAGCCCTATTTGGTATAAAAGACCAAGTCCATATTATGGCAAGAACAGCTCAAATAAGCAAAGAGAAACAACAGTCCATCATTACTTTAAGACATGAAGGTCAGTCAATACGGAACATTTTGCAGTCGCAAAAACCATCAAGCGCTATGATGGAACTGGCTCTCATGAGGACCACCACAGGAATGGAAGACCCAGAGTTACCTCTGCTGCAGAGGATAAGTTCATTAGAGTCACCAGCCTCAGAAATTGCAGCCCAAATAAATGCTTCACAGAGTTCAAGTCACAGACACATCTCAACATCAACTGTTCAGAGGAGACTGTGTGAATTAGGCCTTCATGGTCGAATTGCTGCAAAGAAACCACTACTAAAGGACACCAATAAGAAGAAGAGACTTGCTTGGGCCAAGAAACACGAGCAATGGACATTGTTTTTCAACAGGACAATGACCCAACACACCTCCAGGCTGTGTAAGGGCTATTTTACCATGAAGGAGAGTGATGGAGTGCTGCATCAGATGACCTGGCCTCCACAATCCCCCAACCTCAATCCAATTGAGATGGATTGGGATGAATCGGACCGCAGAGTGAAGGAAAAGCAGCCAACAAGTGCTCAGCATGTGGGAACTCCTTTAAGACTGTTGGAAAAGCATTCCAGGTGAAGCTGGTTGAGAGAATGCCAAGAGTGTGCAAAGCTGTCATCAAGGCGAAGGGTGGCTATTTGAAGAATCTCAAATATAAAATATATTTTGATTTGTTTAACACTTTTTTGTTTACTACATGATTCCATATGTGTTATTTCATAGTTTTGATGTATTCAATGTTATTCTACAATGTAAAAATAAAGAAAAACCCTTGAATGAGTAAGTGTGTGAAAATGTTTGACTGGTAGTGTACGTCTACACTTTGTGTAGCCGTTAGCGATGATGCTAATGATAACCTTCTTCTGGTAGAGATGGAAAGGCTTTTCCCAAAAACCTTCTCAATTAAATGTTAACTACAAAGTAGCCTATGCCTACCTGGCAGAATTATATGATTATTTGCATAAATCCAGTGGCTATTTGTTTAGCAAACTCTGCAATCACTTGAGCGCTACAGAA